GTTTCTCAATCCAGCAAAGTTCCTCAATCAGGCTGGAATATTATGAACTTTGTCTGGAAATGGCAAAGTTCCTCAGTCTAGCAGTATTTCTTCAGTCAGGCTGGAATATTGTATAAACTATGTCGGGAAATGACAAAGTTTCTCAATCCAGCAAAGTTCCTCAATCAGGCTGGTATATTATGAACTTTGTCTGGAAATGGCAAAGTTCCTCAAACCAGCAGTATTTCTTCCGTCAGGCTGGAATATTGTATAAACTTTGTCGGGAAATGACAAAGTTTCTCAATCCAGCAAAGTTCCTCAATCAGGCTGGTATATTATGAACTTTGTCTGGAAATGGCAAAGTTCCTCAGTCCAGCAAAGTTCCTTCAGTCAGGCTGGAATATTGTATAAACTATGTCGGGAATTGACAAAGTTTCTCAATCCAGCAAAGTTCCTCAATCAGGCTGGAATATTATGAACTTTGTCTGGAAATGGCAAAGTTCCTCAGTCCAGCAGTATTACTTCAGTCAGCAAATTGATGACATATAATTAATCTAAAAAATGGCTAAGTTTCTCAAGTTAACTAAATTATGAAAATAATAATGTAAGTTTCTCAACCTCAAAAATGGCAAAGTTTCTCAAGTTAACAATAGAAAAACATTAATTGCTAAATAAGTTTCTTGATCTTGAAAATGGCAAAGTTTCTCAAGTTAACAATTGATTTCGAAAAATGGCAAAGTTTCTCAAGTTAACAATAGAAAAACAAGTTACTTAATAACACCTGAAAATACAAGTTGATGGCACTCCTTCTCAATCAGGCTGGAATAATATAAACTAAGTCTGGTAATGACAAAGTTTCTCGGTCCAGCAGTAATTCTTCAATCAGCTGAAATATTCTAAAACTTTGCCTGGAAATGACAAAGTTTCTCGGTTCAGCAGTATTTCATCAAACGGGCTGGAATATTCTAAACTATGCCTGGAAATGACCAGTTTCTCGGTCCAGCAGTATTTCTTCAATCGGGCTGAAATATTCTAAAACTTTGCCTGGAAATGACAAAGTTCCTCGATCCAGCAGTATCTCTTCAATCAGGCTGGAGTTATCTAAATTATGTCTGGAATTGACAAAGTTTCTCGGTCCAGCAGTATCTCTTCAATCAGGCTGGAGTTATCTAAATTATGTCTGGAAATGACAAAGTTTCTCGGTCCAGCAGTATCTCTTCAATCAGGCTGGAGTTATCTAAATTATGTCTGGAAATGACAAAGTTTCTCGGTCCAGCAAATCTTCTAAGTTTCTCATCAATCCTCAAATGAAACACTGGCACGGGAGATGTGTTCCAACCAAAAGTTGCCTACGTGTCTGGCTTGTTGTATGCCCACTCCGTATTTATACCCCGGTTATATATGTACATGTATATCGAAACCAAGTCCAGGTCACGTGACTTCGTTTCACAAGAAAAAGTCCAAAAATCGTCATTAAAATGCAAAAAATGAATAAACTCTCACTGGGGAATTGAAATACATAATATAGTTTTGCAAATCACAGTCATAATTAATGCATCAATGACAAATTAAACGAGAAATTGATGATTGAAAAGATCGTGCTCATGATCATGACGAAATGTCACAAAACTTTCAAACAGTTTAATCTAACCTTAAACACTAGATTTTGACGTGGTTAAGCCTTGAGTTACTTTATAAACTAGCTGAATAGAACCGCTAGATACTAATTAATATAAAGATACTAATTGCATTGTACAAACTAAACACTAACCTGAGTAATATAGGTTTTTGTGTGAATTTTCTTCACGTGGTTTTGAATTTTACAACGGAAGTAACTTTCTGATGACGTCAAAGCAAGATGGCGGCCTCCATAAAAATATTCAAAAGTTTTCAAATGATTGAGAAAATGACTCAAATCTATAAAGATTGACTACTATAGATGATAAATCACTGGTGGTAAGTAAGGAATATATAAATACATCTAAGACACTGGTCTAATCTAACTGTGAAGCTACCGTATCGTCTCGACACTAACTTATCAAAAAAAATAATTTGAAAAATTCTAAAATTTGTGACACAATGATATAATTTACATAAGAGAAGTATGACTGTATGAATCATTCTGGGATATTCCTGTTTTGTTGAGACAGATGAGAATAAAATTAACCCTTTGCAAAATTGATCAAAACTGCCTCCAATCATCCAATACTTGGCTCAATCTAAGAGTGAACAAGTGGAGAAAATAAACTATTGGGGTAACGTTTAGGTAGTCAATAAAAACCGGATTCAAGTAAAGAAACAATAGTTGGATCAAAGATTTTTCACTCAATTGAATATCCATCCTCTTATTTCTATTCTGTAGACTTAAATATATGGTTATGTAGGGGCATAGCTAGCAAATGACAAGGAGGTGCAGCCAATGGCGTAGCATCATGTACGCAAAAAATGCCATGGCGTACTCTCAAATTAAGAGAAAATTTGATTTTTTTATATTGAAAACAACAGGCAATTTTTTTAAAACGTAGGTACGAAAAATTTCGAACGGAATGCGTGACATATACATAATTCGCGTGAAAAGTCCGAACGAAATGCGTACATTTTTTTCCGCCGTTCGTATTTTTGCTGTGTAGACGATCTTTTTTAGAAATTTTTTCTACAGAAATATTTTTGCTTGACAATAACCAGGTAAAATGCGTATTTGCGTGACATTTTCTGTCACGCAAAAATAACTGGCGTGACTTCAAATTCTTCAGCAAATGCGTGACAAATACGCAAATTGCGGGACAGTTGACAGGCCTGCTGCTGCTAATGAAACCCCTGAATATTCTGATAAAATGGCCAATAATTTACATTTGATTGGTCCATATTAGTCGGAATTTCATACCTTAAAATGCAGCAGAACGCTTTAAATACAATTTCAGTAATTTTCTTAGAAGACAAAAGCCCCATCTAAAACCCCCGTCAAAGCTCACCAACATTTAAAACCATAATTTGTCAATGTTTTTTCAACAAAGGATTGGTATCGATATGGTGAATTGAATTCAATATCTTTCTCTTAAACCAATTATTGAAAACATTCCCTACAAAAACAGTTCTTTATGTAATGTTGACTGATTGACAACAATTTAATGCGAAAATTATTTATATATATTTTATACTTGTATAACTGTTTTAATTAACAATTTTATGTTTTTTTAGTGGAATTGTTTTTTGTTCCTTTCTTCCGATTCTTGAGAATGAAATAAAATAACTTTCCAAACCTTGTTGGAACAGAATAGCATATACAACATTTTCTTAGACCTCTCAATATTATAGTAATACAAAGGAAATTTTGGTTGATTTAACAAAAGGTATTCAAAAAATTGAAACAAAAACCCAAAAAATAGATAAAAATTTAGATAAACCTTTTATTTCAATAAACTTATGCCAAGAACAAAAGAAGTGCCTGATGTATTTTCTAAATCAATGAAGAGAAAAGTAATTATTTTTTTCAAATCATATTGTTACCAGTTAAAAGATGACCATTAAATTGATGATGTGTAAAATTTTCAGAATTTTTTGATGACTGGATTAAGAGAGACGTGTGTTCAAAAAGTTCATCAAATCGGTACCAATCCTTTGCAGAATAATTCTTTTTTTGTAGGTGGGTGAGATCACCCAACTGGCTCCACCAATGCTATGGGTTATTTTTACATATAATGCATCACACATAATGCTACACATTAGAAAAAAATACTACTTTTCCCTAAAGAGCAAGAAACAAGAACATCTATTAAAAACAGCCCAGTAATACATTTAACAGGTCCCTCATTGGAAAAATCTGTGATGTGCATTCTTATCTGTTTTTTTTATTGAATTGGCTTCTGATTTCGGAATTTACAGATCTGATATTTATTGACTACTAAACTTTTAGTAGGTTTTCTTTAATAAGGCAATGTGAATAAGTGGAAATTGATATGTGTATATCCTACCACCCCTATAAAATAATGGACTTGCCCACTTGGTCTCTTGGATCCACTTGTAAAATATATATAACCTAGTTACAGCTATAGTCATTCTCCTTGGGCGCCCTATCACAGGCCTGTCAACTGTCCCGCAATTTGCGTATTTGTCACACATTTGCTGAAGAATTTGAAGTCACGCCAGTTATTTTTGCGTGACAGAAAATGTCACGCAAATACGCATTTTACCTGGTAATTGTCAAGCAAAAATATTTCTGTAGAAAAATTTCTAAAAAAGATCGTCTACACAGCAAAAATACGAACGCCGGAAAAAAAACGTACGCATTTCGTTCGGACTTTTCACGCGAATTACGTATATGTCACGCATTCCATTCGAAATTTTTCGTACCTACCCCCCGCCCCATTTTGAGGGGAGGTGTTCAACATTTCCAAGTCACTCATGTTAGGTGTTCCCAAGTTGACAGGCCTGCTATCAATACTACAATTATATATCTGTCTCATATTATCACGGTTGAAAGCGCATAATCACAGACACGGGAACAAGAGTTCATCCCCCTCCCACTCACTATGTATTACTTAGAAAAAAGACATTAGCAATACAGTGACTGAGGGGAAGGGATTTAAATTTTCCTGCATCTGTGCTGTGAAATTGAACTGTTGAAAATAAGCTGGATTAATGGTTATATAGATAATACTCAGATTTGTGTCACATACTCAACTGACAACGTTTCAACACACAAGCAGTTGTGGTGATTTGAAAAAATCAACCCCACATAATAATGGGGGGGGGGGGTGAAAAAGTGTAGCCTAGAATCTAAGTATTAGATGGAAATATATAGCAACAATCTAATATTACAAGATTATAGCCATGTAAACATGTGAGGTTGATTACATTGTGGATGATTATGAATCACTCTAGGGCCTTGTCCATAATCCAATCTTACGTGTACGACGTTGTTCACGAGGTGTGTCAAAGGCATTTCAGAACATTTGAATGTAATCAATTATTAATCATACATCGATGGCATCTTCACATACGGAAGAATATAAATGTTATCACACGGGACTTACCTAGTCTAGTGTAAAACTCCGCAATGTTGTTTATCAGCAAATGATGTACCAGGGGCCATGAACGTTTCTAGCGGATATTAAAGAGGTCACGTGAAATTTGGACTGTGTTCTGACGTCATGGGAGCCTTGCGAAATTTTCCAATAATAATAATACAATTTGATTACTGTGTTGAAATTATGTCACTATAAATATGAATTGATAATCGTCAAGGAATAAGTTATCTTGATCAACGGAATCGGTAAGTCTGTATTGAAGACTAGATTATTTGAAACCGGGGTTTGAACATTTTCTTAAATTTAATCTAACTTATTATCGCCCAGTTTGTTTAGATATCTACATTTGTGCAAGGACGTCTATCTCGAGATAGACCTAACATGAACTGTCTTTCTAGAGACCGGTTTATTTCATTCTGATACACATCACATCTAAAAACCTGGGCATACTCGTTAAGGTTCAGCTGGAAAGTAACATTTTGGTAAAAAAATTGCTATGCACATGTTATTTTCCTCCGCCATAAACCCAATGAGAAAATAACATGGAGGGGCGCTATTTGACGAGTTATATATAGGAAGACGATGTTCTCTAGATTTCGTTATTATAGACTAGGAAGAAGTGTCTTATTATAGCTCGTCAAATAGCGCCCCTCCGCCATAAACCCAATGAGAAAATAACGTTGCTATACCTGCACATGTTATTTTCTGGTACAAAATTAGATATGAAGGCAAGTGTGTATTTCCTTGCTTTTTTCAGGAAAGTATCATTACATTGCCTACTTTTAGTAAACCTGGAAACAAGTCAATGGTAGCTCCTGTGTTGTCTGGGAACTTTGAAAGAAAATTTAGAAAAATAGAAAGTGTGAAATATCAGAATTTCTTGGAGTTCCCATTGAACACCTACCAGATATTCTAAAAGAAGACAATGTAATGATGCTTTCCTGAAAAAAGCAAGGAAATTGACACATGCCTTCATACTTTATTTTGTACCAGAAAATAACATGTGCAGGTATAGCATTTTTTTACCAAAATGTTACTTTCAAGCTGTACCTTAAATTCACCATCCCGCGAAAAATTCTTTCTTTTTCGAAAAATTCGTAGGAACAGCTGTTAGAAATAAGTATATACTTATAACTTTGCAAGGACCTTTTGCGATCAGAAATTGTTTATTACACCATTGCTATGCAGTTTGTTGAGAATTCCTTGAGATGTGACGTTTAAATCATGTGTTTGTATAACGAAAGATAATTTATCTGTCCTATTCCACCAATTCTAAATCGAAAGTGCCTTATATCAAATTTCATGGTGATCTATGATGCAAGAAGAGAGGGCCATGGTATTCCATAATGGGTTGTGGGAATAAAGTAAAGGTGCATAATTCACATCTGGTTCTTTATATCTGACATATGTCACTTATGCCCTTCAGTGGTGTAGCCAGGAAGAAAAAAGCAACGAGGTGAAAAATATTTCCAAACCTGTTCAAAAAAGTGATGAGGCCTTCCTAGCTTCACTACAACATTTTGATTAAAAATGACGTCTACATGTATGTAACTCAGACAGAAATACGAATGTAAATTATGATGGCAATAGGAGAACATGATGATAACCCTTAACGCGATGATTATGCACAATGCACAAATTCAAAGTAGCAATCTACGAGACATGACTCATATTTGGCAGCATAAAACATACAGGGATTTTTGTTAACATAAGCACGGAGCGGTAGGCAAACTGCGCGCCTACTATGCACGCAGTTTGGAACACTGACAAACTGCGCGCCTATTCACAAAATGACAGACAGGGAGGACACGACTCCCAAGAGGATGGAAATTACTGGAAATACTAGGCTAATTTTGGTTTTCAGACAGTACCAAGATGTGGAGACTAACTTAGTTTATACGTAGCACTCGATTTTTTTCCCGACGCATATTTAGTTATCTCAAAATAAGGTTCCCAAGGAGCTTTCGTGTTAAAATTATACAGTGTTGCGTCATATAATGTCTGTTTTTCGTAGTTTGACGTTTATTTAGCCCTTGTTTTTGCATATTCTGAAAGATATAGGATTGCTGCACATGGTTTAAGTAATACAATTTGTTTATTAAACAGTGACAAGCCATTAACGTGATTTTATTTTTTTCGCTGTCAAACTGCGTGCATACTTTCACGTGGATTTCACAAACTGCGTGCCTAATATTTACAAACTGCGCGCCTATATTTACAAACTGCGCGCCTAATTTGCAAGCTGTGTGCAAGTTTGTTGAGTATTTTCAGAAAACGTAAACGCCACTCACTAAACCTGTCCCTATATAAAAAGAAACCAAAGTCTGACCCTAACAAAAATGTAGATATGATAACAACGGCGCATCTTCAAAAACCATGACACCCCCTTCAGAATTAAACAAGATGTTATTTCAAAACGCACCAATGAAGAAAAGGAAACCAATCAAGAAACCAAAGAGGCGATTATTTAAAGGTACCAGTGACTCATTTGAAAAAACATTAAAAGACTGTGAAAACCTCTTGCCCGATGTCCTCTCAAACCTTAAAAGAAATAGTACATTGTGTCAACATTTCCTCAATTTCTTTGGATTTATCAGGCTCGTATACTATCATGTACTGCAGTCGGGACATTCAAGTATTACTTCCTTTGGCATATGCTATAAAATAGACTCGGAACTATTGTATCCCCAAAAATTCAAAGATTTAAGTGAAAAAGTTTTGAATTTCTGAATTTTTGCTCGTCATGCATGCATGGTCACTTATTTATGGTAACATGGGTAATAAGTTTCAAGTCGAAAGAGTGAGATTGTTGTAAATATCCTTTTCTTACTTATGTTGCTAAAACTGTGAATTTTTATAGCATTTTATAATGAGGAATTCATTGAATTCTAAGAAATGGCTTTTTGGACTGCATCAATCAAAAATATAAATAAAAAAGTATTCAATATATATTTACACAATTTTTATGAACGAATTGTATTTATGTTGCACCATGCATCATGCACCATGTTAGTTTGAAATAAAGTAGTAAAATAGGCACTTCGGCACTTCGATGGGGACTAGGCGGGGGCCACCTGGGTGTCTTTTAGTAGGACCCCAATAGAACAAAACAATTTTCATGAGATTTTTGAACTCAACACTATATGATGAAGTCGAATTATTGCATCAATTTTTTATTAAATCATATAGACAAGAAAAAAATAAAATATAAATATGTACATTTCCACTGGTTGTCAACCATCAACCCAATTTTAGTTTTTGATTTATTTGAACCTTTTCAATCTCTACCTTTCAACTTACTTACGTACTCCCATGAAATCACATAGGCCTGCATTACTGACAAGTCATCGATAATATGCACGCAGTTTGGAAGAGTAGGCACGCAGTTTGTGATTTCTGGCTAAAATAGGCGCGCAGTTTGTGTTTTATTACTTCTTTCTGTCATGTTCATCTGTTTTAATACGAAATATTTTGTATTGTACGGGAAAACTGGGTTGAGATTTACCTGTAAATCAAAACCCAAGTGTTTTATATTTCTGTGGAACGTGCGATATCAACTTATGTATCGGTGATCGAAAAATCGATGTCAATTTTTGTATTAATCTGCTTATATTTTTAAACCTACGTTCATCTGGACATGCATTTCGCTATCACATGGTTGAATCATATAATCGCCATCGAATGGACGTGTTGAACTATAAAACAATTCAGAATAAATGTCTTAAAATGACGTTTGAAAACACAGACTCCAACTTTTATGATGCAATGTTGATAGGCGCGCAGTTTGTCAGTCTTTCAAACTGCGTGCATAGTAGGCAAGCAGTTTGGCTACCGCACCGTGATAAGGCTGCGACACAGTAGAACCCTTACACGAAGGTGACACTGCCCCACACTGTACATTTGCTGTCATGTTATCTTTCCAAAAGTTCAGATTCAGAAAAACTCTGGAGTTATTTCTTTTTCTTCGAGCTCCTTACCTAAATCTTAAGAAATTCTTGCACCATTGCATTGAGACATAATGATGCAAAATGCACTTGTCTTTTGAAGTAAGTGCAATATACATAGTCTTCTGAAGTGAGTGCAATATGCACGGTCTTCTGAAGTAAGTGCAATATGCAAGGTCTTCTGAAGTAAGTGCAATATGCAAGGTCTGTATTAAGTATAATGTGTATGGTCTTCTGAAGTAAGTACAATATGCATGGTCTTTTGAAGTAAGAGTAATATGCATGGTCTTCTGAAGTAAGTGCAATATGTATGGTCTTGTCAAGTAAGTAGAATATGCATGGTCTTCTGAAGTAAGTGCAATATGCATGGTCTTCTGAAGTAAGTACAATATGTATGGTCTTCTGAAGTAAGTACAATATGCATGGTCTTCTGAAGTGAGTTCAAAATGCATGGTCTTCTGAAGTGGGTGCAATATGCATGGTCTTCTGAAGTAAGTGCAATATGCAAGGTCTTCTGAAGTAAGTGTAATATACATGCTCTTCTGAAGTAAGTACAATATACATGGTCTTCCTGAAGTAAGTATAATGTCCATGGCCTTCTCAAGTAAGTGCAATATGCATGATTTTTTGAAGTAAGTGCAATGTGCAAGGTCTTCTGAAGTAAGTGTAATATGCATGGTCTTCTGAAGTAAGTACAATGTACATGGTCTTCTGAAGTAAGTACAATGTACATGGCCTTCTGAAGTGAGTGCAATATACATGGTGGTCTTTTGAAGTAAGTGCAATATGCATGGTCTTCTGAAGTAAGTGCAATATGCATGGTCTTCTGAAGTAAGTACAATGTACATGGCCTTCTGAAGTGAGTGCAATATACATGGTGGTCTTTTGAAGTAAGTGCAATATGCATGGTCTTCTGAAGTAAGTGAAATATGCATGGTCTTCTGAAGTAAGTGTAATATACATGCTCTTCTGAAGTAAGTACAATATACATGGTCTTCCTGAAGTAAGTATAATGTCCATGGCCTTCTCAAGTAAGTGCAATATGCATGATTTTTTGAAGTAAGTGCAATGTGCAAGGTCTTCTGAAGTAAGTGTAATATGCATGGTCTTCTGAAGTAAGTACAATGTACATGGTCTTCTGAAGTAAGTACAATGTACATGGCCTTCTGAAGTGAGTGCAATATACATGGTGGTCTTTTGAAGTAAGTGCAATATGCATGGTCTTCTGAAGTAAGTGCAATATGCATGGTCTTCTGAAGTAAGTACAATATGCATGGTCTTCTGAAGTAAGTGCAATATGCATGGTCTTCTAAAGTGAGTGCAATATGGATGGTCTTCTGATGATACCCCTATAAATCAGTGTGGGATTGATTTTCAACTACTTGTGTTTTGAAATCTTGCGATTGAAAATAGATTGATTAGTGGCTATCTAGATATTCAGCTTTGTGTCAACTTCTGACAACATTTTCAGCCCCAAGATTTCAATATACAAGTAGACAAGTATTATTCAAGTATTTATGGAATATCATGTAGAGGGGTTCACAAATACATGTTTTTATTTTTACAGGCATATAAGCTGTTAAAAATGGCCAGGGCAAGTCTATGGCGACAATTAAAAGTGCTACTAAAAAGGAATCTTCTCCTTAAGAAGCGTGTAAAATCATCAACAATACAGGTATGGGTTAATTTGATCTATAGGTGCTGACTAAATTGCTGACAAAAAGCAACATGTACAATCTATTCCTTGAAATCTCTAATACAATATCTACAAATAGATCCAGGATATGTTCTGAAATGATAAGGTTATTAAGGATTTAAGGTGCAAAAATTTAGAGAAAATATATATATTCTCCAATATAACTTTCCTGATGTAAAGTATGTTTTGGGAATTGTAGAAAATAGACATGCCAAGGAATTATATGAGCCTAAAAACTGAAACAATTTTAGTTTAACTTGCTCTCTAGATCTGATTCTCTCTTTAAAATGTATGCATTATTGGATATTCATGCGATCAGTGTAAATGTTATATAAGAAAAATCAAATATGAAAGAGTATGAATGAAGTTGAGCTTTTGCGAATTGTGAAGTAAACAATTATAGCTGAACTGATGTACAAGTATAAATAATTAAATGTACATGTACATGAAAAATCAAATTTGAAAATAAGGCGAAGGCTTCTCCCTTGAGAAGACAGCAAGGCCAAAATGTTACAAGTAAATAATAATATTATCAAATGAATTGCTGTTTATTTTCTATTTCCAGGAAATAGCGTTTCCATTATATTTTGTTATAATACTTGCTATCATCAGAGTAGCTGTGAGACCAAGGACACAACCTACGATCATTGGATTTCCTGAACACGATCTATCTAAAGCATTTGGACAGCCCAATAGAAATTTGACATTAACAAAGATATTTATTACCCCAGATAATTTGGACACGCGAACTATTGGAGCAGGCTTGGCAACACGTCTCGGATTATCCCCTGATAGCATTGTGTATTTTTATAATGAGACAACAGCTGTGAACGCTTATGTAGAGAATCCAAAGAATGTATTTGGGATCCATTTTGATAAACTGCAGGATAATGCAACGTCATATGAGCTTCGTGTACCCATTAAATCTATGCCAACAGCTTTGTCTAACCTGTATGGCTCGCAAGGTGAGCTCTTTTATAGGCTAATAGGATCGAGGGCTAGTATTTATAGCTAGGTTGATGTATATCTCCAGAATAGGAACAGTTTGGTACTGGACCTGTCTATATGCAAAGCAGCAACTAAGTGCTACACTCAGATGAAAACTTGAAATTGCTTTGCACCCAGCTGGAAATCAATCACCTGGATTTTGGGTCTTAAAAAGTCATTTAGAAATAGAAATTTTTTTTCCATGTGTTCAAGTATGCAAACTCCTCAAATTAAAAATGAGATGTTTTAAGTCACCCACCCTAGCACCCTCTCCCCAGCCTGTCTGCCCCAATTAAGTATTTATACTATCTACATTTGTAAATTTTATGTTTGGCAACAATGAGAAATGAGGTTTTGAACAGAGTCCCTTATATATTTTTATATCACATTTAAAAGAGAGACTAAAAATGTTTTAGGATAGGAACTATTTATTTTGTCACCAAAAAGAAGCAGAGACATAATGTAATATGACTATCACTCTTTGTAACCATTTCCTTACCAAGGTTATAGTAATGCCTTGTTGTATATGTGCATAAACTCAATCCATGGTATATGCCTTTCAAGGTTCCTGTAGATCCAGTACAGAAGGACTGGCTGCTTTTTCATGTCCTGCCAATAGTTACATCTTCAGTGGTTTTGCAAACCTTCAGGCTGTCATTGATGCAGAAATAATAGGGGTATGTATATTCAGTATTAAACACTTTTACCCATATCACATTTTGCAATAGTCCTACATTAAAGTATTTTATAGTATTCATCGCAACTTAACTGCCTATATGAATATTCTCTTTATCGTAAATTTATTTTTAATTAATTAGTTAAAGGGCAACAGAAGTTTTCCATCCCCCAAGATTAATGTACAGATGATGCCCAAAGGAGAGTTTACACCAAATGTGGCATGGATCCAGATACTGTCCTCAATCTACTTAGTCATGGCTTATGGTCCGTTTGTCAGCTTTCTGGCTTCTTTTCTCGTTTTTGAAAAGGAGAAGAAGATCAAGGAGAATATGAAGATAATGGGCTTGAATGGCACTGCATTTTGGTAAGTGTGCTCTACAACTGTACATGTATTGTGCTTAGAACATGTAAAGTGGAAAGTAGAGGTAAAACACTGTTACCGATTAACTCAAAACAAAATGAACCTCCATAAGATGAACACCTAAGTGAACACTTTTTGTATTTTTCTCTTGTTCTGCTTACACAGGTTTTTCTGTAGTACGAAGAAATGGGATAAAAAGTATGAATTTGACGGACCGAATAATAACGTAGAGTAAATACTGTAAAATCTGTTTAATTAGGCCTTAAGAGTGTTCCACTAAGTCTTGGGAGGTGCATTAATGAAAGATGTTTCACATTCATTTTACATACATGCATGTAGTTAATGTGATACTGGACTGTGAAAAGTGTTCCATTTATGGTAATGTTCCAAGTACAGGGGCATTCTGCTTTGCAGGTTCCCTTTCAGAGATGGTTAAATTATTATGTTCATCAATCAACTTAGAGTCTTAATGTTTTGGAAGATTCTTTATCATTTTGTTTAATCACCAGCAGTCTGAAGTCACCAGCAGTTTGACTATTCTTTTATATAGAGCCATTTAAAGTTATACACATTGGTTATATGTAAAGTTCAACAGTCAATGCTATACCTGGAAATGAGACTGCAAGTGTTTACATCCCTACTTAATTAATCAATATGTTTCATGTTTTATAGGTTGAGTTGGTTTATCATATACACTGTCCTCATCTTCATTGTGACAATCGTTGTCACACTCATTGGCTTCCTGTTGTTTGAACGCAGCAACCTCTTCCTTTTCTTTCTGATGCTGATGATGTATGGATTGAGCATTGTCAATTTTGGCTTCATCCTCTCGACATTCTTTGATAAACCTCAGTCGGCTAGTGCAGTTGCCAGGTATGTTTGGGGGTAGAATAAATTGCACTGATCATTGTTAGGTTACCGTACATTTCATATTAAATTGTCCCACATAAAATTTGTCATCAAATTTCCACAAAATAGCTTAACTGCTCAACTTGATATTTTGTACATATGCATATGCATACTAGTCAGTAATCTGATTAGGTTTTGGTTTTGGGCATAATGGGTAGATTATATACTTGGTGGCCATTTTGAATTTTATGATATAAAGTGTGTCTAGTGTTTGTTTTATTTCAGCTTTTTGATCATTTTGCACCATGGTTTTCAACCATCTTCTCTATAAAAACACTTTCAGCCACTTACATTCTAATAAATGCATAGGCGTAGCCAGGGAGGGTGCGATATCGCACCCCCTCCATAACCCCAAAAATATAACCATGAAATAGAAGAAGAAAAGAACTTTAAAATGGTTTTTATTTGAAGCTTCTAGTTCAGTTTTGAAGGAAGTTGCATCATTTTTATAAAATTCAAGATAAATCTTAACTTTTTGGCTTGTTTATGCCACAATCGCATCCCCCTGACTGAAAAACAAAATTTTTTTGGCAATCGCACCTCCCCCTGACTGAGAGCTGGCTACGCCCCTGAAATGTTATGCAATCAATCGAAGCCATGTTTAAAAACATTTATCAGTAGCTAGGATGTTGAATTGTGAATTGTATTATTAGATACTTTTGGATACAAAAAGCAAGTTTTGTTGTCAACTGTGTGATATTACATGTATTTCCTCCTATGAAAATATGCTGTAATTTTGGTTGATAGTTTTGATACATTTTGAGTAAGGAAAGCTATTTCAGCTGAACCACTAAAATTATAAATATGGAAGGAATGTTCTAATTTTGATCAATATCATTCTGACCAGCTGATCTTATGATGAATGGGATATGTGATGCAGAAAATATGTCTGGGTTTTAACCCTAGGAGTTTCATTCCAAAAATGTTCTCATCTTACAAAATTTGAAAGAGAATAAGAAATATAGATGCTTTAATGAAATTTATTTTTCCAGTTTGGTCCCACTCATATTCAGTTTGCTGTATTTGGCTGTAAGTTTGACAAGAAGCTACACGATAGATGGCCCTGTTTCCTCCATCCCCAATGTTGGCCAATGGTTCTTGTGCCTGCTCTCGCCTGTAGCTCTTGCATTGTCCGTAGATCAGGTAAACAACATCCTACTTTTGTTTATAGATTCACAGGATACCTGTCAAAACAGTGTTTTGGGTGTTTCAATTGAAAGTCTCAGGGTTAATGTGAATTTTATATGAGTTTGCAAAGAAATGTTCCAAGCCCCCTTTTGGAACACATTACATTTTGGATCCTCCTGAATTTGACCATTGGCTTCCTTAAAAGCCCATGCTTGGACATAAGAATTCAATTATACATTATAATCAAATGTATAATAAAACCTATGTATTGTTGGAATCGTCCTTTGTACTGAACAGATTTACTCTTTATACAGGATACAGGTTTTCCTCAAATGAGAGGGAGACTTGAAAACTGTTCCTTCCAAGGATGTGTTTCATCAATACAGTTTTTCAAAATGATTCAGTTATGTCATGTATGTTTTACAGGGTCTTTATTTGGATATTGCACGTGGAGGCATGAACTTTGAAACAATGCATTTTGGGCAGTTCCCTCTCTGGTCTTCACTCACTATGCTAGCTGTTGATGTTGTGCTTTATGGACTTCTTGCTGCCTACCTTGACAATGTAGTACCAAGTAAGAATTTGATTTCTTTTATGATTTTTCCCAGTTGTTACATTATGTATAATTCTATAATCAGAAAATATCTAAAAGATACATTTTAGATCATTAAGATTTCATCAGCATCAAAGCTTAATCTCTTGATGGAGACTCATTGCTCAAAATTATAATTTCTATTTCAGGTGAATATGGTATGAAGCGCCCTCTGTGGTTTTGTTTCATGCCATCGTTTTGGTGCCCTCGTGAGATCAAAGAAGAGGATTTGATTTTATCAGAGCATGGCTTTGAAGATAATGTAACAGTTGAAGCTGTCTCAGGAGATATAGAACCTGTCTCGACTGAGTTTAAAAGCAAAGATGTCCTCAGGTATATTCATTTTGATATCGCTTGAACCATTGTGGATTGCTCTCTGTACAGAGAGCTGGAGTCAGTTAGCTTTGATCCGAACCATCTGATTTTTCAGTACTTGAAAATAATCTGCCAACTAATCCATAATGACACTACTATTGGCCAAAATGGATTTAAATAACTGCTTCTTTAAGAGTTTTGAGAGCCAATAAATTGTTTACATTTGCAGAATGTTCAATATCAAGAAGACATTCAAAGGCAAGAAAGGGGCTAATGTTGTAGCAGTTGATGGTAAGTCCATTATTTTGGTTTTTAATCTTTAACTATCAGCAAACACAATGGAAAACAAAATAACAAAGTATTTCAATGGCAAGTTGCATTTCATTGCAATATTCTAAAGTCTGTATTTTAGCTTGTTCAAAAGGTTCGCTTTCAGGCATTGACTTAAATTTCAGATATTGGATTGAACTGCTGTTTAGAAGTTATAAATAAACACCGTTGTAAACACATGTTAATCATCTTTATTTGTCAATAAACTGTGACACTATTTATAAAACCTAATAAAAATGTTAAAACCTCTGAAATATTGCTCTGGTGGATCATATATTATTTCGGATTTTAGTTGAATTCGAGTTTTCACTGAATGATAACAGCATTTCCATTGAAGGTTTATTTACTTTTCCCAATCATAATGTTCAGTCAAGGTAGGATTGACACATTTGTCTAAATAGCATCTGAGCAACTGTTTTGCCAACATCACCCTCTATCTCTGTTGGTTTGCTAAAGTTAGAAGGACATAGATAATGATGGCCACAGACATTTTCAATAGAACGTGGACTTGAAGCCATCAGGTGGTCTATAATATCTATATTTAATTCCCTTGTTAAGTCGTATATGAGTCCATTCACTGCTGCTGCTCTGAAGTCACTCCTTTTATGGTATTCCCTGAATAAAAAGGCTGGTTTGTGAGGAAAAGCTACATTATTTAACCATATGAATCTCACATTGCCACATAATGTAGTCTGCCTCATAGATTTAATTGATGGAATTATCAATTCCTTAATTGTGTGCCAGTATTCCAATAATGGTAGATTCCTCAAGTCCCAAGGGCCTCCTTCTATGATTACAATGTCTCTCTGATTTCGAGTAGAAAGTGTCTCATTTATATATCGCGTTATGTCGGTTTTAATGTTTTTTGTTTTGGGAGTCCAGAGAAAATGTAAATGCTCGAATCCCCAGTCTTTAAACTTTTCTCTAGGAAATTTTCCCCCTGCTAAAGCACTGAAGTAAACCATTGTGTGACGCAAATGAGACTGGCCTGAGCACATTACAGAATTTAAACTTTTGAAGCAGTGATTGGCCTGTTTCTCTGATATGAATTCTAAAAGGCAGTCTTCATGAAGGCCCCATTTATATGTTCCATTTACTTGAATCCATCTTCCATTCCGAGACATGAACCCAGGATCATCATTACATATTATTGTTTTGTTCATAAATTCAACAAATGATTCTAAATCTCTCTGTGTTTCCATTTCACAAAGTGCTATATTTGCTATGACACCTAAACTTGGATAAAGAGGTGTTATTTCATTAAATGCTCCAAAATTAGTGTACATTTGGATTATTTCTATATTGGAACATGGTGGTGCATTTGGACAACATACATGGTATGTTCCGTTAAAGTAATCTTTGATGTTGCACAAGTACTTGTGAACACCCTCTACCATAATTCTGAAGCTACTTCCACCTTTTGATAGAACTCCTCGATATGTTTCTTGTAAAATAACAATCACATCGTAATTTTCTTGTAATTCCCATTGCACAGAATAGCCATATTCCTTGAAATCCGTTAAGGCATCAAGATCATTGTTTAATATTGCTTCTCTATTTTCCAACATGTGTCTAACTTGTTCATAAATAAGCATTTCATAATTCTCACCATGGCAACGTGATCTAGACTTTTCCTCATTAACAAGTTCCTTGATGTAAAGATACTTGAATGTCCAATTGGTTTTTAATGCCATTTCTTGGTCATTGACATTTTCAGTGCTGTTTGTCTTTTCTGTATGATGTCCAGGATTATCTGTTACAAACTCATTTTCCATTTGGTTGATTTTGATTTCTTCTCTCCAAAATCTTCCAATACTCTGCTCTGCATTGTTTTTCTGTTCATGAATTGATGTTTTGCCAAATTGCCTCAGTGTTTTAAATATTGTTGACATCACCAGTTGACGTTCCATCTTTACGTAGATACATATTGTTAAAATAATCAAAGAAACTGTGATCATGACAAATATTCTGAGAAAATGCAACAAACTTGTCATATTTATAGTACTGTGTTACAGTGTGTCCAGGAAGTCAAGACAAATGCCCCAATATTATGAAACCTGGTCGTGTCAAGACCCTGGCTTGTAAAATATGACAGATATGCCCTAACGTTCATTAAATATCGTTTTTATGTTATGTTAAAATGTTAGATATAATATAACCATGATGGCCTTCACATTTTGAGACCATGTCATGAAAGTTGATGTATATATCGTCATAATGTAATTTCACAACCCATAGTATTTACATTTTCAAAAGGTAAAATCCTAAAATTATAGCTTTTGTATGTTTTCTTCCTGGATGTACTGTATCCAAATGTTTATAAATGCTGTGATAATGCTGTGATAATGCTGTGATAAATGCTGTGATAATGTGACATCTGAAAATAGGTATCTTGAAAGTAAGATAACTCAGAAATGGGCATTTATATTTTAATGTCAAAACTTAATGTACTTATAATGCTTTAATATACTCAATATCTATGTACTTTATATACTGTGAAAATCACAAGGAAGAACTTGTAAGGTGACCCATATGTCAGACTCTGACATGATTAAGAGTCAATTTAAGATGTATTGTATATATATGTGAAGCATGATTTATTGTTGGTCTAATGGCCTTTTTCTCCTGAGGCTTTTTCAAATGTGTCAAATATATCTTGCATAAAATGTGAAAATGCATAGTGTCAATATCTATTACCTCGATACATGTATTTCTCTTCATACTTCCCACAATGAAATTATCTAACAAAGTTCATAGGGATATAGGGAATGCCTCTGTCTGTCTGGGCAATGACTCAAATACTGGCCTGAATTTATTAATATTTTGTACAAATATACCCTATGGGGGTAGAAGTTTTTCTTAAAAGCTGATTTTCAAAATGGCCACTCATTTCAAAATGACAGCCATTTTAGTGCTGTTTTTCAAGAATTAGGTACAATATTAAAAACTGTAGTGGCAATACGTTAAAATGTAAAAAAGTTATATAGGATATTGATAAAGCTGGAAATGTAGATATTAAAGATGCATGTGGCAGCCATGTTGAAAAATGGCAGCATTTACACATTATTTTACAATTTTTGCTGTTACTTGAAAAGTAGTGGAGCGATTTTGTTCATATTAGTTAGCATATAAATACTATAAGCATGGCAAAATGTCTTATGACACTTTGGGTAGTAGGCGGCCATGGCCGCCATTTTTATGTGTGTTATTTAATGTTTTTATTTTTTACTATAACATGAAAAGTAGTTGAGCAATTTTGTTCATATTTGATAAGTGAATATTCATGAACTTGTACACTGTCTAATGACACTTCATGTAGTAGGTGGCCATTTTGAGTTTTTACTGTAACTCGAAAAGTAGTGGAGCGATTTTATTAATTTGATATGTTATGCTATAAGCATGGCACACTGTCTAATGACACTTTGGGGAGTAGGCTGCCATTTTGAAAATTTTTTACGTGTGTTATTTTACATTTTTTTTTACTATAACTCAAAAAGTGGTAGGGCGATTTTGTTCATTTTTGATATCTGAATACTCATAAGTATGACACACTGTCTTATGACATTTTAGCTTGGAGGTGGCCAAATCGAAAATGGCCGACATTTTATACATGCACGTGTGGGCGATTTTGTTGAAATTTTATATGTGCTTACTTAGAAGCATATTACACTTTCTGATGACAATTTGGCTAGTGAGCAACCATTTTGAAAATGGTGGCCATTTTTATGTGTGTCATTTTACGACTTTTGCTATTCACTTCTTTTGTAAAAATGCCAGCCATGGGTGTTAGATGGGATTTGCTACTCTTTGACATTGCTGTTGCTTAGTTAATAAAGTATAATATTCAATTTTTTGCATAAATGAGTCACTAGTACTGTACAACCAGCATCTCATTCTTTACAGAATTGTTGAATAATCGTTATTTGAAACTCAGTAAAAATCCTATGCTAAGGACTGATGTGAAAAGCGACTTCATCAGTGGGGATTTAATCTACTTAATTCACTAGTGAAAAACAACAAAGTAGAATGTGTTTATGCAAACAGCTGAACATCTCTTAATGTGTACACTTTTTCTTGGTTTCAATTTAGTTTTCATTCATTGACTTGGATATTAAGAAAACTTGAAATGTGAACATCTGCTAATCTGAACACTTTTAGCCAGTCCTGTGACATTTCCTATAATTTATAATATTCTATATTTGTTCCAGGTATTAACATGGCACTCTATGAGGGTCAAATCACTGCATTACTAGGGCACAATGGGGCTGGGAAGACAACTCTGATCAACATGTTGACTGGGTTAAATCCCCCTACATCAGGCTCAGCAACATTATATGGCTTGGTAACATTATATTCTTACACCTTCTTTTCGATATAAATAGATAAATTGCTAAGAAAATTGTTCCTGGAATAATGTACCTCTTGAATGATGCCTTTGATTCAAGGATTCAACTTTGGCATTACTACATTTTACTAAACAAAATGAGTTTAACCTCTTGACTACCCAGAATAACGAGATTTCTCGTCACCTCAGAAATGACCTTGAAACCAAGAGGGACGAGAAAATCCGTCACAAAATTGTTCACAAAAATTGCTCTTATTTGAACAATTTTCATCCAATTTACACAAAAATTGTTTTAAAACGTGTAAAAATGATCTCTGCCATCTAATTTTACTAAGTTGAGCATCTAAAATTGTAAAGGTATTTAGTAAAATGTCAAAAGGTGGCAAAAATGAAAAAATTCTCTGGTATCAACCAAATTTAGAGCCTGGGATTCAAGATGTTAATTACATTGCAGATATCATTATTGTTTCGCATGAATTTTTTTCTGTTTTAAATCTCAATAATTGTGTAATGACGCTCATTTCTGAGATGGCCTTTTCAAGAAATTGAGATCATTTTTGAACATCTAACGTGAGCACATTCATTCAGTTTTGCTATTAACTGCCACAATGCTTTTGATTACAGGATGTTTCTGACACGAATGACATGGATCAGATTAGAACGATGACAGGGGTTTGTCCCCAGCACAACATTTTATTTGACAAGTTGTCTTGTGTTGAGCATCTTGTTGTCTTTAGAAGTCTAAGAGGAATCCCTGAAGATCAGATTGAAAAGCAGGTAAATAGTGAAATACAGGATATCCATTTGTTTTAAAAATTGGTAGGGGGTGCCCTGAAAGGGGGATGTAGGACTAGGCCAAGCATCAACCACTTTGTGAAGTCATTTGCTTGGTGAAAATTTGGTGCAAGACCCTCTCCTAACTGAAAATCTTACTAAAAGTGCCCTTTTGATAAATCATGTTTTTATTTATCTATTTGTTAATTTCATACCAAGTACATTGTACTGTAAATATTTTAGATTGAGAATGTGTTGGGTGATGTTGACTTGTCTGACCAGGCAGACACTTTAGCCGAGAATCTTAGTGGAGGCCAAAAGAGGAAGCTTTGTGTAGCTATAGCTCTCATAGGAAGCCCCAAGGTAAGCACTGGGTCTATGCAGCCCATGAAAATGTGGCCAATGAAGTGTCTGATTCAGTTTCAGGCTGTATTTCTTGAGACCACATATTATTGAGATCAGTAGTTGGAAGATCATTGCGCTACTTGGTGGATCATTACCTAAAACAGTTATTATCTGGGTAATTTTAGGGCATTAGAGGGATCGGTTCAAAATATCAAAGTACAAAATAATAAATGTCAATGCCACAGGTTCTACAAGTAACAGATATTTTATTAATATGCCATGTAATGATTGCACCTCTAGATTATATTTATTAATATGCCATGTAATGATTGCACCTCTAGATTATATTTATTAATATGCCATGTAATGATTGCACCTCTAGATTATATTTATTAATATGCCATGTAATGATTGCACCTCCAGATTATATTTCTTGATGAACCAACTGCCGGAATGGACCCATACTCAAGGCGCCATCTATGGAGCTTACTGAAACAGAGGCGGAAAGGACGTATTATTGTATTGACCACTCACTTTATGGACGAAGCTGATATTCTTGCAGGTAGGATGTATTATTGTATTGACCACTCACTTTATGGACGAAGCTGATATTCTTGCAGGTAGGACATATTATTGTATTGACCACTCACTTTATGGACGAAGCTGATATTCTTGCAGGTAACAATAATTATTTGTAAAAATCATTTATAAACATTAAAATAATGTGTTACACTTAGAAAGATAGACTGAAGAAATTATTATTTAGATGATTTTCAGATCTATATTTTAATTATGTCCCATCTTTATATATTAATGTATTTTATTGTTTCACAGATAGGAAGGCTGTGATAAGTAAAGGAAAGCTCCGATGCTGCGGGTCATCAATGTACCTGAAAAATAAATTTGGAATAGGTTATCACCTGACGTAAGACACTCTCAATTTCTAATCATGTTCTGATATCTCATTTTTGTAGTTAACATACATCTTTGTCATTAAAAGTAGTTTTAGGATGTAATGATTTTACAAGTACAAGTATCGGTACTTAAAAAATCAGGCAAATATCAAATAATCAAAAAGTGTGCTGTATTTGGGTATTTGGAGTGAATTTCTGTTTACTTCCAGTATGGTGGTAGATGGAAAGCATAATACAAGTGCAGTTACTGACCTAGTACATAGACATATTTCCTCAGCTAATCTGGGCCATGAACACGCAAATGAGCTTGCTTATACCTTACCTCACAGCAAGGTGGAGAAATTCCCAGGTAAATTTCAATCTCATTTCCATAGCCATTTTTTTGCTTGGATAAGTGAATAATATTATATTATTTGAGGCTGGGAAGCAATTGTAAGTATGTTATTGTATAACATAACTGATAAAATGATAATAATTAATTTTGAAATAAATTGAAATCATCTCATATTGCAGAGTTGTTCTCAGCCATAGAGAAATCACAGGAAGCCAATGAGGACACACCTGAATATTTGGGCATCACGAGTTATGGTATCTCCATGACAACCCTAGAAGAGGTCTTTCTAAAGCTAGGTAAGTGAAACTAAAATCTAGACATATTGGTCAGCATATTTATGTCTTAGGTTATGCCAACCTGTTGTTTTATAAGCTAAAATGAATAGCAAGAGAATAATAATCAACAAGTATAAGCTAAAAGGAATAGTAAGAGAAAGTTTAAAATTAATATTAAATCTCTACTTCATCTGAATACTTAGAACATCAGAATTTATTTGTAAACTTGAGATTTGTAAACTCAAATCACAAAATCTGTAAATTCAAAAACCCACCTCAAATATACCCTTTCTGTAAACTCAGAACACTCATATTTAAACCAAAAGCATAAATCTGTAATCTTAAACCACTGTCTATAGCTAACCTCACCGCATTTGTTAACCCAAGCTAACTTATCCATTGTATTTATTAATTTAAAACAACTCTTTAAAGATAACTCCATTTTCAATGAACTAATATTTTTACCTTTATTTTATTCATATTGCTTACAGAGAAGATAAAAGGTATGATTATGTTCATATTGATATTGTCTTATGAATGTTTTATCATATTCTGTTTTAGACCCCTATATTTCAGTTTCTTTTGAATAGTCTTAGTGACTGTCAGAACATCACCAGGACAAACTAAAACTGTTCTGATCAGGAGGTTTAATATTTCAAGAATTTGCATTTGCAAGAGTTTTGATATTGAAGAAATGTGAACACATTCATCATTAGATATTTGACATACCAACAATTCAAAAGTAATGTTTCCAATTTATTCATATTCATCGCTCACTAGTTATATCTTAATAAAAACGAGTGAGTTGGCCCTTTCAGCATTTTTAAGAAATGGTATATCGTATAAAAAACAGTTGACTTGGTATTAGAATCAATTAGTATGATTTTCTTGCCTTTGAAGTTTATAAAACATTTTCTCCATTTACTCAGATTGATACAGAAAGCAATAATTTCATGAATAAAAGTTCACATTGTTTTCACAGACTAGATGTTTAAATAGAGCTATTCTATGTAATATCATTTGTACATTTTTCTTGTTTGTGTTTCAACAGAAGAAGCAAGTGTTGATGATGAGCCAGATGTTCCAAATGGTCCAGCAAGTGATAAAGACAATGACAAGCCTGCAGTTGCAATTAACATGCAGGAGACTCCCACTGCCAATAATGTAGAATTCACTGCAAATGGTTTGGACTCAAGAGCCTGTCAAATTGTTGAACCAGTTGACCTCGACAAGGCCCGATTTAAAACTCTGGTGATGCTGAGGTTCCGGATCGCTCTTCGAAATCCTTTCTCCTTTACCTTTAGGATACTGTTCCCAGCTTTGTTTGTTATCATTGGTGTTGCTGTGATGAGGTTTTCGCCAGCTCCTGTACCTGTATTTGAGGCTGCCCCAAAGCCATTTGCTATATCAGCATTTAATTACATAGCATCACAGGGAATTCCTAATACTCCATACAGATATGAGGATAATACTGGGGGTGAGTACCAATAGGGAATGAAACTGATAATGAAATAACAATTAAAAATAAAAAGAAAGAGTAAGATGAAAACTACCCAAAAGCATATGCACTATTTGTTGTATGTCATGTAGCTATTTTTAATTGTTGGAGAATTTGCATTTTGATTTCATCATAGTTCACTATACAATACTTTACATTTTTCTGATCTTAACTTGTCCTGTTCCCAATCACATGAACTGGGGTTTTATGTTGCCATATGGAAACATTATATAAGAAGTAACTGACAGTTTTAAGTGTCTGTAAATACCCTGAAATCTTTTTACCAATGAACAATACAAATTGTGTTTTTGAAGTCATAATCAAAAATGAGCACATTGTACATTCTTTATGGTTGTTAAATTAGAGTGAAGAATGTGAAAACTGGGTTCAAAAAGTGAGATCAGTGACCATGCAAGCCTCTTCGTCATACTCCTTTGTCAGTTTAGCCAGCATGATTTCTTCTTTTACTACTGTACTACTTTACATCTGGTTTCTCTTTCAAGAGCTTTCTTTTGTATTTGAAATGTTTCATCTTAAGAAGTAATAAGTTTTCCTTTATTGGTAAATTTGGGTTTCCCAGTATAAAGTCTTCTTCTGGTGGTCTCACTCCAGTTGCTTTGAAACATTAGTATTTGTAGTTCTTTGCCTCGCTACAAGCTATGAAAGTGTGCGCAATAGAGTCAATTTCCTCTGCGCAGATATCACAAGTATTGTGATATAATGAAATACAAAGTGTACCATATAAGATATACTTGAACAATGAACATGTATGATTCTGTGCCCACAAATTGTGATTTTAACTCCCATTGCATTGTTTTTTTTCACAGGTAGCCCAAATGTTGCTCGTATGCTGGCAGATCTGTCTGCCATCACGCAGGTGCAAGAGTTTAACAGTTCAACTGACCTCCTTGCTGTGGCCCCTACTAACCTTGCCAGCAGGTTCTATGCAGTCAATGGCCCACCTGGGGTATGTCATGCTTTGAACATATTAGGTCAAGAGCATTTAATTCAATTGCAAGCTAACAATCAATTGATTGAAAGTAAAAAAACATTACATGTATTCAATATTAAGGTCTAACTGAATTTTGCTTCTTTAACTCATTCAATACTGGGGCAAAAAGCACTAAAATAACTGAAGAATTTTTGAAAATTATTATATGGTACCTCTGAGATAATATATAAAGTATATAAATGGGCATACATAGTATGTATATACTATGTATTGTTATATATCATTTTAAATCATATGATATACTCTATCAGAATCAATAAGTTTTTAAGTCCCATTTTATAGGTTGTCATGGTTACAAGATTCCAAAAAATACTTTGGGTTTGTGCTTGGACGTGATATCACGTCATTCGTAGTCAACGTATGTGCTTTATGACGTCATATCACGTCATTCGTAGCGAATGAGTTAATGGTTATATTTTGTCTGGAGAAATTTATGTAAAGAATAATGAACATGTAATATGTGCAAAATAGCAATTTTCTCTAACCCTAAGTTAACAGATATCCCTGTTAAGTTATGTCTTGTATTACTTTCTAGTTTGATGTCAACTACACCGCACTGTACAACGATACTGCAATACATTCCCTACTAAGCATCATCAACTTAATGAGCAATTGTCTTGTATTACTTTCTAGTTTGATGTCAACTACACGGCACTGTACAATGATACTGCAATACATTCCCTACCAAGCATCATCAACTTAATGAGCAATTGTCTTGTATTACTTTCTAGTTTGATGTCAACTACACGGCACTGTACAATGATACTGCAATACATTCCCTACCAAGCATCATCAACTTAATAAGCAACTCTCTCCTGAATTTAGTCCTCAACGACACTAATCGTCCACACCAAATCATGACTGCCAATAAACCATGGCCAAGTAAGCTTACATTATGTTCTGCATTATTTCACAAATACCCAACAGCCATGAAAGCAAAAGACCTTCTGTATTTTCGTCAACTTGGTTAACACTAGAGTCTGTGCACTTCCAGACAAACACTTTGATGGATTGATTTGAAATTTTCAAGGATGTTTCTTTGCATGAACAATTTAGAATTGCTTAGGGTCGATTTTAAGGCATCCATATTTGATTGTTAAGCACTGTATACACTGTAAATACCGTTTCAATCGTTTCAATTGTTTCAATTGTTTCAACCAATTCAATGGTTTCAATGCTTGCATCATTTCCTACGGTTCAATGCTTACGTCATTTTGAGCATTTCAACCGTTTCAATCGATTCGCCTTTGAAATTAATTTAAATTTTCGCTGTTTGCGCCTGTTTCGCCGTTTCAAGCATTTCAATCATACGACCAATTCATGAAGAAACGGGTGAAACGATTGAAAAGAAAAATGAACATGCACGTTTTTCATTTCTAGTGTAATGACCTTCGATAGCAAGTCGCTACTACAGTCTCAGCTGTGGTGGCTAGCCTTTATGGCTCAGGGGTAGAGCGTCTGACTCTGAGAGCAGGAGGTCCTGGGTTCGATTCCCGTACGGGGCATTGAATTTAGCACATTCTCTTTCGAGTCTAGTATCTGGCTCGGTACACTACAGCTCCCCTACGAGCGACCCAAGGGTCGTTACACTAGCATTTCGCTGGGTCTTTTCAACCGTTTCAATCATTTCAATCAATACGTCTTGAAAAATAAAATCACTATTTCGCTGCTTTCGCCTGTTTCGCCGTTTCAAGCATTTCAATCAATTCGCCTAAGCTGTTTTCACATTCTCTTTCATTTCAATCATTTCAAGCATTTCGGCCTTTTCGTCCCCAATTTCAAGCATTTTGCCTGCCAGTGTATACACCCCTTTTCAAGCATTTCGGCCTTTTCGCCCCCCATTTCAAGCAATTCGCTTGCCAGTGTATACACCCCTTTAGACACACTATTGTTAAGCCTGTACCTTGTTTTGTATTTTAGGCATTGAGGTTGGCTCTGCACAATGGAATCAGGCAGCCTTTTCTTCAGTTATCCTTGTGGGTTTGGCTATGACAATAGTCCCAGCTGGAATGGCAGGCTTGATTGTAAAAGATAGAGAGGTTTGTGGATTTCAGTAGTACACTATCATCCTAAATTAACATGATGATTTAATTGAGTCTCAAATTAGGCTAATCAGCTTTATCCAAAAACAAGATTTACAACAGTGTACATACAAAATAAATTATTCTCAAATGTAAAAATTTATATCTCCACCAGAAGTGGATTGTGTTTGGCATTCGGTGCACAGTTGGTGTTTGGTTGTTGGCTTTTGGTGATTGATACTTGATGGTTGGTGTTTGGTGGTCAGGTTCTGTAATGAATGGCAGGTGGTGACATTTTGCATGTTAATGTCATGTTTGGAATGACTATGTTATAAGAGAGATTAATGAAATAAACATTCTAGAAATTTTATTGATGTTTTATTTTAGTGTAAAGCGCGAAGTCAGCTTAGGGTCCAGGGTGTAACAATGAACATGTACTGGGGGAGTACATTTCTTGCAGACATTATTCAATTTTGTATTCCTACATTGATTACTGTCATTGCTGTTTTAGCATTTCAGGTATGGTATTTATATCCTATTTACATGTATTTTAAAGAGAATATTGTATTTTACCTGGAAAAAAAGTCTGAAATTGAAGGCTATTGGAATGAAGAGGTTATTTTTGACCAAAATAAGTGCCATATTAACTTAGCTGTTATAGCTACCTAAAACATATAGAATTATAATGTTATAATTATAAAACACTTTACAGTACTATATAGGTTGATTAAGTTATGGTTGTAAATTATTTAAATAGAGATTAGAAAAATTATGAATGTATATCTTTTTAGGTGCCTTCATATAGACCAGGTGGAGCCATACTGAGTTTGATCCTCTTATATCTGCTGTATATGCCTGTTTTGACCCTATGTGGCTACAATATATCATTCCTCTTCAACAGATTTGAGACAGCTGGTGCGATCATACCGCAGTTATTTACATATGTAAGGACTTTCAAAGCATCTCATTTAATTCAATGCAAGAAGTAAGCAGCAAGAATGCATTTTGGTGACATTTTATTTGAAAATTTGGTAAAAATTTATTATAACAATTAATGTCATGTATAGTATAGGGAACTGTATTCTTATATGCATAATATTTATTGAACTTAACAAAATTATGTTTCAGACTTCATAAATTAATGTTTACCAGGTCGTCCAATATCTTCATGCAAAAATGCTCTAATTAATTTTTTTCTTTGAAACGTTTACAAAACATTTCTTTGTTCTGATTTGTCAAATGTTATTTGACTTGTGTTTTGGTCATGCTAGGCAATTTAGGACTTGGTCACTCAATTTTAATTAATCTCTGGGTGAATAATTAGTTGCACATGTACACACTTTAAAACACTTGTACTTTCATACTGAAGGTTTCTTAGCATGTCACTTCATCAAGTGCTCAAAGTATATTCCCCTTTGTACTGGAAACATAGTTCCTGGCGCTTCACACATTCTTCACTTTATTCATATTTAGCCCTAAAACCACAAGGAAATTTATTGTGCATTGCACTCTGCACATCTGCAGTAAGTTCAGTCATGCTAGCATACCACACTCCTCTCACTTCCTCTTTCATTCTATTGAACACCCCAAAGTCCAATATAGCATTGGGGAAGTATGCACCCTATTCAAAAATTTCTATCTGTAGGGTATCCAAGATGGTATCCTAAACCATTTTCTTATTACCTGAACTTATTGAACGACCTGGTATGTAGTTGTACTATTTTCAAAAATATTGGTCTAAGAGGTTTCCTTTGTTTGAAATAAACTATTATCTAGCTAAGAGATTATTAAAAGTCATGTTGATTACATTATGTTTGACCCCCACCCCTCATCTAACAAAGTTTAAAATGTTGATTTGTCTCAATTGAAAATCAACACTATTTGCCCACATAGCAATACATACTAAGTACCCGACCAAGTATAATAAGTACAGATATATGGACAGTTTAGCTTAATCCACTAGTTGATAAATATAGATGGCACTTGCATAACTAATTGTAAATGCTTTGTGTACTTGTACTTTCAGTTGTCATTTGTACCATATATCCCTGTCTCTATTGTACTTTCAGTTGTCATTTGTACCATATATCCCTGTCTCTATTATTGACCTGAGCAATCCACAAGCAGCGGCCATCATGCACTATGTTTTCTGCATTATTGATCCCCTTTATGGTGTCTTTGGAGGCATCTACTACATTGATAGGGTAAGTTTGAGGTTGTATAATATTTAATTGAAATTGATTTTATGTATTATGACCTGATGTAATATGTTAAAGCTTTGCCAATATAGACCAACCTTGAGAGGCTCCAAATTGTTTTTCTCAAAATATATTTTTAATTTTTAACTTTTTCTCAACTTTTTTCTTCAGATTTTGTTATTCAACATTTTTTGCTGGGTTATGATTTCCCATAGGATAAACGGACAATCCTATGGTTTTCAACAATATCAGTTATATCCACTCATGGATATCAATATCTTCAAACATTCACTGCGCTCACTCATGAAGACATCAATATTCACTCATGGATATCAATGACATTTTTTTAAAACGATAGGATATTCCTATATTTTCCTATGGCTAATTTGTGAGCCAATGGGCTGCAGGACTTTTAAAAACCTGTTCCACTTGTGAGATGTTTCACTTACAGAGGTGTTCTACTTAGTTTCTACTGTACATAAGACAGCAGTATTAACTTAAAAATAGTTTTATGTTCATCATTGTAATACATTTTAAATTAAGGAATGATGCAATTTTAGCTGTCATTTCTATATCTATCATTTTGTAGGTGCACTCGTACCAATCCCTAAATCTATAGCTCATTTACATTTGTAGGTGTATACTCGAGCTTCATTTACTCAAACCAATCCCCAGCTCTCAGTAAGCGACTACTTCAAATGGGATAGTAATATTATTTTCCCTCTCCTCATGGTAAGATTTGATTATCACATATATGGATTATCATTCTATTACTTAGGAATCATGGTATACATGATTACAAATGATTTAGAAATTTTGAGATTATAAGCAACATTTATTATTATCGTATGATATGTAAAATGAAGCCCTCTGATTGGTCAGTTCTTGTGATGTACCAATCTGTATTGCCACTGAGATTGTCCTCATTGATCATCTCCGTAGCAATACAGAAAGTATTGGTATGGAGGGGACAATCTCAGTTGCAATACAGAGGATACAAAACATTTTCTAAGGATTATCTTCTAAGTGAATTGTATTGGCTTAAGATCAAAATATAAAAATATTAAAGAATGATTTGAAGTCCAATACAGGATATATTGTGCTCTCAATATTCTGTGTTTGCACTCGACTTCATCTCGTGCCAATACAGAATTTCTCAAGCAGAATATATCATGTATTGCACTTCAAATCATTCAATCTTTTTAGCTGCTATCTGTGCATTTTAATGATTTCAGGCATTTGTACATGTAGCTTGGCTGTATTTCTTATTGCGTTATTTGGAAGTACGGAAGTATGGTGGTGACACAAAAGATGTGGTCGGCTGTGTCAAGAAGAAAGGTCCAGTGAGTGTTGTCCCTGAGACGAATGATGATGTCATAGAGGATGAGGATGAAGATGTTGCCACGGAAAGAAGCAGAATCATCAACTGGAATCCAGCTGTAGATAAGGTGAGCAAAATGCTGGAATGGAGGCAAAATGTGCAAGATGACTTAACTTCAGATGTGTAATAACCTTAGGGCATAGCAAATGTAAATTCATCATGGAATCAGTCAGTTATGTCACTTTTATGATTGCTTTGTTTGATCCTTTGAGCATCCCCTTAGGACTATTCATATTGTACCTATTCTAGGCTCCCGTTGTCATGGTGATGAGCATCCCCATGGGGCTATTCATATTGTACCTATTCTAGGCTCCTGTTGTCATGGTGATGAGCATCCCCATGGGACTATTAATATTGTACCTATTCTAGGCTCCTGTTGTCATGGTGATGAGCATCCCCATGGGACTATTAGTATTGTACCTATTCTAGGCTCCCATTGCCATGGTGATGAGCATCCCCATGGGACTATTTATATTGTACCTATTCTAGGCTCCCGTTGTCATGGTGAAAGGCCTGCGCAAGGAGTTCAGCAAAAGAATCAAAAATAGTGGTTTTTGTAAGAAAGTGCCTGATACCGTCAAGACAAAGGTAGCAGTTCGTAATTCAACATTTGGAGTAGAAGGAGGTGAGGTGTTTGGACTACTTGGCCCCAATGGAGCGGGTAAAACTACCACAATGAATATGATCATTGCAGAAGAGGGACCAACCAATGGAAAGGTGGGCAATCGTTCAATTTCATTATTATGCTCCCCATTATAGGTTTTGCCTGAATGCTAATAGTAAAGTAATAATTCCTGAGTACATAAAAGAGCTTACAGTTTTGACATACAATGTGATTGGATAGTAAATTATAATTGCTTATTTAAAAATATAAGTTGATGATGCAGTGTTTACACTAAGGGATGCAGTGTTACATTAAAGGATAGTACAAAGAGCAACCAGGTTGCCCACTTCATCAATGTATGGAGGTTTTTATATTACATTCAAATTCTGTGTATTGTTAAACTTTAATATCTGCTTCATATGAGAAAATGAGCACTTTGCAGATTATTTACATTCACTTTTAAAGACTTTTGTTGAAATCCCTTTTTGTTTGAGATGATGAGATAACAATAAATGTTATGCTTCAACATTGTAGGTTACTGTAGCAGGCTTTGACATCAGATCTAGTCTCTCTGATGCCTTTCAAGCCATGGGTTATTGTCCCCAGCATGACCCTCTCTGGGATGTCATTACGACAAAGGAGCACATTTCCACTTATGCTATTATGAGGGGCATCCATCCAATTGATGTGAAGGGCATCACACAATTGTGAGTATGGATTTGAACTGTGATTCACAAAATATTGGTAATATGCAATAAAGTGCACACACTATATATGAATAATATGATATTCATGCTATTATGCAGAAAAAATATTTGAGTATATGTTATATTACCTCAAGTTAAAATTAAATGTCATATAGCCTTAAATAGACATCATTTAAACCATTTCATTAAGAACACTCAGTAAAGCTCTTTATATCTTTCAATTTCATTCCAGTTTTCTGAAGTCGCTGCGCATAGAAGAGCATGCAGACAAGCATGCAAAGAAGTTGTCTGGGGGAACGAAACGAAAGGTCAGTACTCGATCAACAGGGATTAACTCATATGAAAAAAGTGTAATACTGTTTACAATTATTGACTTATTCAGAGGTTGACTATTAAAAATTATAATCTGACATTGTAAACCTTGACCGTCAAACAACACTTATCAACAGGAATATATTGTGCAGTGATTAGTCAAAACTATTTACTGCTCTTCGACCAATCAGAACCAAGCATTTCAAGTGCATGCAAGAACAGAGGTAAGGAATGCAAATTATAATACATGTACTAAATACTGTTTTATTTCAGTTGTGCTATGCCTTGAGTATGCTTGGGAAGCCTGATGTTGTTTTGATGGATGAGCCTTCCACAGGAATGGACCCCAGGTCTAAACGTTACCTGTGGTGAGCATTGCCATTTATTGTAAATATTTCGCAATTAAAAACCTATTGCATAATGCATAGTGTCTGTTGTATAATACATTGTGCCTATTGTATAATGCACAGTGCCTGTTGTATAATACATTGTGCCTATTGTATAATAAAAAGTGTCTGTTGTTTAATGCATAGTGCCTGTTGTATAATACATTGTGCCTACTGTATAATACATTGTGCCTATTGTATAATGCATAGTGCCTGTTTTATAATACATTGTGCCTATTGTATAATGCATAGTGCCTGTTGTATAATGCATTGTGCCTATTGTATAATGCATAGTGCCTGTTGTATAATAAATTGTGCGTGTTGTATAATGCATAGTGCATGTTGTATAATACATTGTGCCTATTGCATAATGCATAGTGCCTGTTGTATAATGCATAGTGCCTATTGTATAGTGCATAGTGTCTGTTGTATAATACATTGTGCCTATTGTATAATGCATAGTACCTGTTGTATAAGAGATTGTGCCTATTGTATTATGTATAGTGCCTATTGTATAATACATTGTGCCTATTGTATAATGCAGAGTGCCTGTTGTATAATACATTGTGCCTATTGTATAATGCATAGTGTATGTTGTATAATAAATTCTGCCTATTGTATAATACATAGTGCCTGTTGTATAATACATTGTGCCTATTGTAGAATGCATAGTGTCTGTTGTATAATGTATAGTGCATATTGTATAATACATTGTGCCTGCTGTATAATGCATAGTGCATGTTGTATAATACATTGTGCCTATTGTATACTGCATAGTGCCTATTGTATAATACATTGTGCCTATTGCATAATGCATAGTGCCTGTTGTATAATACATTGTGCCTATTGTATAATGCATAGTGTATGTTGTATAATAAATTCTGCCTATGGTATAATACATAGTGCCCGTTGTATAATACACTGTGCCTATTGTAGAATGCATAGTGTCTGTTGTATAATGTATAGTGCATATTGTATAATACATTGTGCCTGTTGTGTAATGCATAGTGCATGTTGTATAATACATTGTGCCTATTGTATACTGCATAGTGCCTATTATATAATACATTGTGCCTATTGTATAATGCATAGTGTCTGTTGTATAATACATTGTGCATGTTGTATAATATATTGTGCCTATTGTATAATGCATAGTGCCTGTTGTATAATACATTGTGCCTGATGTATAATGTAGAGTGCCTATTGTATAATGCAGAGTGTCTGTTGTATAATGTATAGTGCATATTGTATAATGCATAGTGCCTGTTGTATAATACATTGTGCCTATTGTAGAATGCATAGTGTCTGTTGTATAATACATTGTGCCTATTGTATAATACATAGTGCTTGTTGTATAATGTAGAGTGCCTATTGTATAATGCATAGTGTCTGTTGTATAATAAATTGTGCCCATTGTATAATACACAGTGCCTGTTGTATCATATATTGTGCCTATTGTATAATGCACAGTGCCTGTTGTATAATACATTGTGCCTATTGTATAATAAAAAGTGTCTGTTGTTTAATGCATAGTGCCTGTTGAAGAATACATTGTGGGCCTATTGCATAATACATTGTGCCTATTGTGTAATGCATAGTGCCTTTTGTTTAATGCATTGTGCCTATTGTATAATTGTATTGTATTTTGTTTGCCACAAATGAAGGTGAGCACTTACCTCTTGGGTATATCCTGTATATGTGTGGTCGCAATTTATGCAAATAATCCTGAAAGACAAACCCAGAAACCCCTCCTGTTAGCAGACAGATGCTTATCTTCAATAAGTGGATATTCATTATTCAAACTTGGAAAGTATCAGGTGTGTGGTTCACGAGCACGGATCTCTGTTAGCGAGTTGAGAAATATGTTTGGGACCGAGGAAATGATGGTGCGCGACTAAAGATTTCTTGTTCGCAACGTGAGAATGGTGGTTCGAGCGCAAGGAATGTAGTTCGCGAGCTCAGAACTGAGTTCAAAATGTTGCATATAGTCTTGTTTTATCATATTACCCCTAATGAGATATAAAACAATGATTGGCCATTTCTTAAATATCTTAATTTTCATTTTAGTTCCTGATGGGCAAAGGGTAACCATATTTTACCATAATAGTAATCTAAGTATGAGACGCTACTGTGTGAATATGACACAATCAAAGTTGTTCTGGTCTAAAATTGTGACATCATCCTCATATGTGGGGCTGGCAAATATTCAGCACATTCTGCGTTACTCAATTAAACTTGAATAAAATGTTGGGCTTCTATCATAAGGTGAATGTTAACCAATTAGTTGATTACAGTTTGCATGGATATTTATTATTATTTTAGGGACACAATTAGTTCTTGCTTTAGAGGAACTGAAAGAGGTGGTATCCTGACTACACATTACATGGAAGAGGCTGATGCTCTTTGTAACAGGGTTGCCATCATGGTCAATGGACAGATGGAGTGAGTTACCATCACTCATATCACAACATTCCTTTAAAGCTGTTTTTTCTTCGTTTAATTTGATTAAATGAATTTGATTTGATTACCTGTATATTTGGGTATCTTAGTAAATTCAAAGCATTGCCCACATTTTTCACAAAACTGTATGTGTCATGAAATATTATATTAGTTTCAATTATGATCAAACATTTCACCAATGAAGCAGACAGTTGCCCACTTAATATTGCATACAGGGTGACCCCAAATATGTTACCCTCTAGTTTTGGAAATAACTCTCAATTATGAAGAAACTTCATGAATTTTCTTGTGAAGTGTTCAATTCATGAAACATTGCTGTACTTAAATAGCATGAACAATTTAAAGATTTAGAGATATCATGTTTTACCTGGAGGCATTAAATGACACCAAATCAATCAAAAATGTAAGTTAGGAAATCTGTCTTTTTAAACTTAACAATCAAGCAATCAGTTTATATATTTGACAAAATTATTTTAGAAAATTGGTAGATATGACATTGATGCTATGTGTGAAAGTAATTTAGAAGTTACTCAAATAATGGCGTAAACAGAAATCTGAATTTCAAAATAAAATTGAACATTTTTGGACAATTTCACACGAGAGCATACCTGGATTGAAAGCGTAATTACTCTATATCTCAAAATCATAGGTGTAATTTAAGTAAACCACTGTTTTCTCAATTGAACTTTCTATATTCAAAAAATCATAAAAATTACATCATATCTGAGAAAGTTATCCCAAAATTAGAAGGTAACATATTTTGGGGATCACCCAGTATAAAGAATACATTGCACATTCTGCTTTTAAATTCAATATATTTTGATTTTTTTTCATTATATTTGAAAAAGAAGTTAATAATCACCGTGACATTGTTCAGTGGAATTTATATCATTAAAACATTACTTTGGGTCAATAATTCTTTTTGATAACTTTCAGATGCATTGGATCAACACAGCGACTGAAAGACAGACATGGTAAAGGGTATGTTCTTGAAGTAAAACTTCAGGTGGTATCTAACGATTCTGCCGAACTGGAAGACCGAGTTGAGGGTCTAGATGAATTTGTTCAGGGTGTTTTCCCAACATCTGAGAGAATGGAATGCTTTGGTGAGCGGATCACATATAAACTGCCCCAGTCTGATGTGACATCTTTAGCAACAGCATTTAGTGCACTAGAACAGGGTGAGCCAATTAGATTGTTAGAGACGTAACTCTAAATTTAATCCCTCAATGTGATGTTTCCATGTCATTCACGATGGTAGATAAAAAGAAGAATTACAAAGTGATAATTGCTTTCATGATATCTTAAAAAGTTTCTTCAAATTACAAGGGTAGTTTTTATCAAATGGAAAGTGAAAGAAATTTATTAAAATATTTATTGTGAAATTGCAGGTAAGATGCAATTTAATATTGAGGAGTACAGCTTCAGCCAGTCCACCTTGGAGCAGGTGTTCTTAGAGTTTGCCAAGAGGCAGAAAGAAGAAGAAATCGATGACAAAGATGAAGAGCTTGTGAAGGCTGAAGCAGCAAAAGAACGTTCAAATTCTGCACGCCGCAGATTGAACTCGCAACATTCCAGGACTGGATACTCAAATCTTGGAGCTGAAGCTGATGATATAACTGCCCAAGTGAAGAAACCAGCAGTGAGCACATATCTCTGAGATAACATTCCACGTACAACTAATAATTACGAATAGAGCTATTTGATTTTGCTAGATCTACTACAATTAAATAAAATAACATATCAGTAGTATGTCTAGCGCACTCAGTTATCATTGGAATGTGCTATACACTATTATCATATAGCTTTACAGCTGGGACTGAGATATGCTTATAGCTAGGGGGTTATCCAGATAACAAAATAAAGCCCTCCAAAATGTGAAGTACAAGGTATCAAGTATAATCAAGAAATTCTAGGTCTTGACCCTCAAAGGGGTCAGCTTTCAAACAGGGTTAGAAATAGGGTAAAACAATGAAAAAATACCACATAATATGTTTCAGCTATCTGCCAGATCCCAAATTATCTGAAAATGAGAAGATATCATAATTTATTTGCACCATCAAAAGATGTTCTTTTCTGGGAATATCTTAGCTTAAGTTCATCATTGTTGAAGATACATTTTCACTTTTTGAAGATAGATATTCAGTAGATTCTGAATGACTCATGCTGTTTTCAAAGCTTTGATATTTAGAAATAAATAAAAGCTTATGGCATAGCCCATGGGTAGTATTAAAAGTCACATGTTTGCTACAATTTTATTTAATGTGGTATATATATTAAAAAGTGACTTTATGTAAACATGGTGCAAGTAACTTGTTAAATGAACATGAAAATATGCACACTTGTAATAACATTTTAATGAGAGTAGAACATTGAAATTGAATGAATTGGCTTCCCAAGATTCCTGACTTACCTGTCAGCTTTGTACCTTTCATAAGCAAATTCAGAATGTGAAAATGTATGCTGTACTGTTTCATATTCAGACACAACTACACACTTATTATTTCTTACTTATTTTTATGCATGCTTTTTCATTTCAAATTGTTATATTGTTGTTGTCTACTTTCTGTATGTATGTATATGGCCTTTACACCATTGTTAATTTTGGTGCCATTTTGTACTGATGACATCAAAATATAAAATCCAAGATTGAATCAGATAGGATAATTAAGTAAAGCATAGTCTTTTATCAAACCCCTTTAGTTAGTTTTTAGTTCACATTTATGGAAAACTAAACAAATATAATCATTAATGGATACAATTACATCTCTAGCAATCGCACAGCACCAAGAATGGCTTACATTTTCTTGAGGCAGTACATTAGCCCAATGATGTTATTGTATTTGTGTTTAATTTAGTGAGTATATTAATATGGCAAAGGCAATTAAAACAAGGCATTACATGCATAATGGCATCACCTCCCATTTACTACAGATGCTGAATGCCAAACACCAATCACTGAAAACGAACCACCAAACACCATCCACAAAAGAATTGGAGACTATACAACAATATAATTTGTAGTGGTGACAAAAAATCAGCACTCATCAAGATGTGTAACCTAGACCACCTCTCTCAGTGGAGCATCTACATAAGTGGAACATTTCATAGAAGCATGACCAGCTACAGGTAACTAAAAGTTGAATAAACCTCTGTACATGTACCACCTCCAAAGTGGAACACTTGTAAACACAAATATCCCTGGGAAGGTATCCAATGGAAACTTGAACTGCAAATTGCAAACTACACTTGGCTAGTCAGAACACCTCCCAAACACTTTTAGCCATTGGCACTGGTGCTGGATTAGACAGGTTTTACTGTACCTTGAATTCCATAAATTGGATTAACATCACATTTCAAGTATGCAAATTCAATAATGTTTTTTGGCATTATTTCACCATAAATAAGTGGTGAAATATTGCCATTGGCATCATTTCTTAATGATCAGCGCTCAAGTTTGGGTTCCATTTTTTAACCAGATGGTGATATTCATGTTAATGCCTTGTTTGAGCTTTTGCAAAAATGACATTTCAATAGACTTGAAGCCAGTGGCTTGGACAGTACAGTAGCAACAAATTAATGATGAATACAGTATATATTTTATTATTTTACATATATATTCAGAGTTTTATTAATGTTGATTCTGCAGTAATCAGATGTTAGTGATAGTCCTCTAATGACTAAGATGTTTTAATATTTGAACTTTTTGTATATCTGTATAAATGTGAACATTACAGATCAGAATATATTAATTATGTTGTACTTGAAATTATCTCTTAGTTCTTCCAAAAGTCCAGATTTAATCTATATTAAATTTAAAAAATGAAAATTTGATGTAAGGATAAAAATTGAATTAAATGTAAATGGTTGAAGTAATGTCACTTAACTCATTCTGTTCAATGAGATTGAGTTAATAATGTGATTTACAGTCACACAGTGTTGAAAATCTATACATTTGCTGCCATAATGGTGGTAAATTAAAAATATAACATAAAACCCAAAACTTTTCTTCAAAAACTGAATAGAAAATGTCTCATTTTTAATCATGAAAAACAATAGTTGGATGATTTTTAAATCATAAGAATTAATTAAGCCACTGTCTTGAAATAAGGCTGTAAAAAGAATCTAGATGAAATTATATCTTTTAAGGCAAAACAACAACTATAAAATATGAAAAAATGTATGTATGGACATAGACACAGGTGAAAAACATTTGCTATATCCCTCATTTGTTGGGATTTGGAGAGGGGAAATTGTTATGAAGTGTCTGAAATCAATAAATATTCAATTTGATATTTGGGGATAGGCTGGCAACATGACAAATTTTTCCCTAATTTTAGCTGTATCCGTCCATACAAGACAAATGTTTCCATATTTCCTATATCATTACATAGGATGACGCCACCTACTTGACTGATGGTTATGGGATATACACCACCTACTTGACTGATGGTCATGGGATATACACCATCTACTTGACTGATGGTCATGGGATATACACCATCTACTTGACTGATGGTCATGGGATATACACCACCTACTTGACTGATGGTCATGGGATATACACCATCTACTTGACTGATGGTCATGGGATATACACCATCTACTTGACTGATGGTCATGGGATATACACCACCTACTTGACTGATGGTCATGGGATATACACCATCTACTTGACTGATGGTCATGGGATATACACCACCTACTTGACTGATGGTCATGGGATATACACCATCTACTTGACTGATGGTCATGGGATATACACCACCTACTTGACTAATGGTCATGGGATATACACCACCTACTTGACTGATGGTCATGGGATATACACCACCTACTTGACTGATGGTCATGGGATATACACCACCTATGGTCATGGGATACAAATAAATACAAAATGCAGAATCTTTGTGTATATAAATAGATTTATTACAATTAAGTACAATATTATATGAGTAGAATAAACAGAAAATGTCAGAGAGATTACAGGAAAACCTGAATGTGGTGAACACCATGGGACAAAATTGGGTCCCTTTAATTTGGTATATCGACACCAGTCCCCAAATTCAGGTTTTTCTGTTCTGAACTCTGATATCTCATGTACTTATATTATTAATTATTTTAATAAATAGATTCACAGTATCTTTGGAGTAATTAACACACAATCCAAGAAAACAAGGTTGATCCCAAATTAGGTAACTTGGGGCATTTTTGGGAATGTGTGTTATTACATTTTTGTACCTTGAGTCTACAGCTAAAACACTGTCTATTTTTAGCAAATAAGACTAAAACAAACAATTATACAATGACAGTCTAAAATGCTTCATTTATTGTGGAAATATTAATGCAGTTGCGTTAATGGCAAGAGCTGCCAAGACTTTACTTTGATAATGATAATGACACTGTATCTTTAAAACGCACAATAATATATTTAGCTTATCTGAGCAAAATAACATTTATTTTTTGGGGGGTGGGTGTATGCATGGTACTGAGGTGAAGCCATTTTTAAATGATATCTGTCCAAATGGTAATTTGAAAACACTCTTATTGAAAAAAAATTATTCTACCATTCCAATTTTCACAAAAATCAAGTTAATATTTCATTCCATTCATAGCAACTACAGTAACAGAATATTCAATATAAGTGATTTTTGATTAACACAGATAATGCCTCTTTAACAGTTTGAGGCCAGTATAACTTTATTATTGTTCATTTAACAGAATACATATACCTGATTAATTAAAAGGCTATTTAAATGAATGATTCAACTTTGCGGGTTTATCATTGATTCAATGTGTGCATGAGACTCTTCAGCCCACAAGAAGCCGAACCAACAATCACATCTTTCAATATTTGTTTTATTATGCCCATGCTCTTGACCATTGGAAACCAAGCCACATGATCTCAGATTTTCCATGGAATCTGAGTGGTGTAAGTCACATCATGTCACAATATCAGAATATGGCCTAGTTTTGAACGATGAATATATCACATGGAATACTGTGTTATTATTGTTAGTCACATGGTGTGTGATTGACCCATGAGAGAATGAGTACCACATCATTGAATTAATAATTTTCAATATTTGATACAGTACATTTCAGATAAACATATATTTCAATCTTTTGAGAATGAGGAAAATAACTTAGTGTTGATATGTTTCTATCCTAAGAGGTTATCCAAGTAGATCTACCTCCTGATATGAATAGGGTATGTGCATTGTTTTATCAATTACTATTTAAGTGATAAGTGGTCAAGAATATATCCATCTTAAAATTCCTGAATTTACTAATCTAAGGTGATACAATATAAAGGCACATTACATGACTTTTTATAAATAGAGACAATAATATTATATTAACATTGTGCAACTGTAAGATAATATTGCTAACATTTATCTTAATGTAACTGTATTTACACATTTTTAAACCCCACTTTAACAGCTTTAACTCATTGGCGCGTTATTTAATTATTTTTAAAAGCTACTGAGCGTTAATTAATTTATTAAGGATTGGGATTTTCATGCCTACCAATTTGAAAGTGACATAAAATCTAAACCAACAGAGATAACACCACCAAATTTTTACTCATGATTAGAAACATATGTATAAATCATATGTCAATGTATGAACTCATCACAATGAGAGGCACTGATGATAAAAAATCCTAAACATGTATATTACAAAAAAAACATAAGAACCCTACTAAATATTACCTTGGTGTACCCCAGCAGATTCCCTGGCCTGTCCCCCAGCAACAGAGTTGTCAGGCCCATCATCGTTTTGAAATTTCATTTTCTGAGACTTCAAATATTAGGCTTCACTTCAAGAATCGCTGAATATAGCAGCGATTTGATCATCATTACCCAGTCTAAATCGAGTGCTTTTTAAATACCACAATGTCTGATCACTTCCAGATTCGTATTTATTTCGAAATAAAGCAATAAGTGACCAAAATAATTTTTTTCAATCATTTCTCTTCGCCAAATTAATTTTAAATCACCTCCGGTCAATGTGAGTACCGAACATTGGCACTGCAATACTAGGGCGACATCTTTCTAAGTCTGTTAAAACTTCCCTATAGCCTGGCGACCTGAAGTCGACATACGCCATGAAGCGTATTGGCGAAAAAAGTCGACTGAGCGCGCGAATGAGTTAACATTCTTTCATTAGTTGAATAGTAAACACAAAAGGGATCAAACTTTAAACTGTTAACCCTGTTGCAGTGCACTGAAGCTGAACTAACTCACTTTTCAATACTCTAACCTCATAGTCAATAAAAAAGAATTTTTTCTTAAAATTGGATCATGGACCATTTACCTTTAAAAAGACTTAGTGCCCAGTGTGTGGTTTAAGTTAGATAAATCATTCGTCTTGGGTCTTAGGAGAAAATAATGGTCTCGGGCTATTGTCCCTTGACAATTATTTTTCTTAATACCCAAGACTAATCATTTATCCAAAACATAATAGTTACATATCTTTATATCTAAAGTAACACATATGAACCTCAACTGATTATACTTACACTATGAGGCAAAATTTATCATACATGTACCTCAACGGATTACAATTACACTATGAGGCAAAATGTTCTATACATGTACATTGCCTTTGCCTTAACTGATTACATTTACACTATGAGGCAAAATGTATTATACATGTACCTCAACTGATTACACTTACACTATGAGGCAAAATGTACTTTACATGTACCTCAACTTATTACACTTACACTGTGAGGCAAAATGTATTATACATGTACCTCAACTGATTACAATTACACTATGAGGCAAAATGTATTATACATGCATTTGTGAATTACAAGAAACCACTTAATATATCAATGTTTAAGCTAATGGAAAATGAAATGAAATGATATGTCATTCGTGTGATTTCAATGTTTTGTGCATGACCCATGTAGAGGTAGTGATTAGCAGAAACCATAAGATCTTGAGGAATGACACCAAACCCATTTTCAGAATGTTTTAGCCACTATAAATTTGAATATTGGAGAAAATGTCTTCATTTAATACTAACTTGTATTTTAAGCATTCCTGAAGATGTCTGGAAATGTCAAAATCATAAAACTTGAATATTATGTCATATGATTAATAAGTTGAATATCACTTCCCCAAGTTCTAATGTTCTGCCTTTTATCAATAAAATGAATAACACCAGGGATGTAACCAAGGAGGCAAATGATCCAAATGAGGCAAATGATGCAACTGAGGCAAATGATGCAACTGAGGCAAATGATGCAACTGAGGCAAATGATGCAACTGAGACAAATGATGCAACTGAGGCAAATAATGCAACTGAGGCAAATGATGCAACTGGGGCAAATGAGACAACTGAGGCAAATGAGACAACTGAGGCAAATGATGCAACTAAGGCAAATGAGACAATTAAGGCAACTGAGGCAAATGATGCAACTGAGGCAAATGATGCAACTGAGGCAAATGATGCAACTGAGGCAAATAATGCAACTGAGGCAAATGATGCAACTGAGGCAAATGAGACAACTGAGGTAAATGATGCAACTAAGGCAAATGAGACAACTAAGGCAACTGAGGCAAATGATGCAACTGAGGCAAATGAGACAACTAAGGCAAATGAGACAACTAAGGCAACTGAGGCAAATGATGCAACTGAGGCAAATGATGCAACTGAGGCAAATAATGCAACTGAGGCAAATGACACAACTGAGGCAAATAATGCAACTGAGGCAAATGACGCAACTGAGGCAAATGAAACAACTGAGACAAATGATGCAACTGAGGCAAATGAGACAACTGAGGCAAATGAGACAACTGAGGCAAATGATGCAACTGAGACAACTAAGGCAAATGAGACAACTAAGGCAACTGAGGCAAATGATGCAACTGAGGCAAATGATGCAACTGAGGCAAATAATGCAACTGAGGCAAATGACACAACTGAGGCAAATAATGCAACTGAGGCAAATGATGCAAATGAGACAACTAAGGCAAATGATGCAACTGAGGCAAACAATGCAACTGAAGCAAATGATGCAACTGAGGCAAATGATGCAACTGAGACGAGTGATGCAAATGAGACAACTGAGGCAAATGATACAACTGAGACAAATGATGCAACTGAAGCAACTGAGGCAAATGATACAACTGAGGCAAATGATGCAACTGGGGCAAATGAGACAACTGAGGCAAATGAGACAACTGAGGCAAATGATGCAACTGAGACAAATGATGCAACTGAGGCAAATGATGCAACTGAGGCAAATGAGACAACTGAGGCAAATGGTACAACTGAAGCAAATGATGCAACTGCATCCACAACATTTTAAAGAAAAATATTCACTAAAATAGTTTTTGGCTCACACAGTGAGCCTATGGGATCGACCAGGCGTCCGTCCGTCCGTTGGTCCGTCCTTTAAAGAAACTAGAACTTTTTATTCATTCATCGTGATCTAATTCTTTTATTTTAGGTTTTATTCTATTTAGCTTTAATTTAATGCCCTGGCTATGGCACTACACTGTCAAAAGGGCACTCTCCACCAATGCTCCATCTTTACATATTGGAGTCTTAATCCATCCATTTACATTGAGGAAGCGAAGATGACTAGTTTAGTGGCCCCTACATTGCAATTTTAAGTGGAATGTTTAAAACAATAACCAGTACATGAGACATCTTTTTACTCTTTGTTTCAGTACATGAGACATCTATATCAGGTTTGATATGTTGTTTCAGTACATGAACCATCTGTAACAACTCATGTTTTAGCTGACACTGGTGAAATGTCCAGATATGAGACAGTTCTACTTAACAATTTATTTTCTTTCACACGCATGTGCCAAATATACATTACTACATTCACTTGATGCAACCCTGTTACTTATTAGATGAGGGCTTGTTTTTCATTTTCCCCTGGAAAATCTTCCCATCCTGGTGTTGAAAAAATGACACCTTCAGTCAACATTTTGGGTCCTATTTAAGAAAATTTGGATGCTTATTTATTTATATGCTTATGTTTATGTTTGCAAATACTGAGGCCCATTTTCCCAAACATGTACAATTTTTCAAAAAAGTGAGACCCTACAATATATGCTTATGTTTATGTTTGCAGTTAAAAAATAAGAGATTTATCTGTTATTTTTTTCGGAACCTTGAGCTACATTTTAAACATCTACTTATAGATATTTATAGACGACGTGTAATTTGTTGCCTTTGATTAAATTCATGGATGTCCACTTTGGCGATCTTCGCCAAGAAAATGAGAAATGACATGGCTTTACCACAAATAACATAATAACATATACTTCATACATAAATGTGATCTGGTTGTTGGAGTAACATAATAAGTAGCTTGTTGTGATATTGGATAAGTCACATGTCATCATTTATCATACATGTATAATGTGTAAAACAAAATATATTTTAACTTACTAAAGTTAACATTTCAGTCAGAACCTGCTCAACAACATCAATATAGTAAAATTACCAAATGGGAAAACACATGTTTTGAGATGGCCCATTAACATACCCTTTATATACACATGTATATTTTTGATAATAAAGAAATTAAAATCTCTATGGTTGACTAAAATATAATATTGCTTTTATGTGTTATAGACTGGCTACATCAGTGCCATCTGGGCCATTTCACTGGTCCTAAACTCAGGTGACTAGATGTATCAAGAGTATTGCTCCTGTCCGCAACATGAATAGAGCACAGAATAAATGGGACCAACTACAATGAATTGACTTTGACAATTTACTTTTCTGATTCCAACTCTTGCCTTTTTTCAAATTGCTGAGGGACTGTCAACAGTCATGTTTTTATTTGGCTCTGAATCCTGCATTGTTTTGCTTGGAAAGAAGGTGAAAAGCGTTTTATTGGTGATCTAAATTAAAGGGATGCACGCAGGAATCAGAACCAGAAAATTAAATTACCATAGCCTAAATTTTTATGTGTAATGATACATACAGTAGAGTTAAAATATAAATAATTTAATTTCTAAAATTCTTAATATACATATATTTATAAATAAAATGGATATAAATATAATCTCATTTTGAACCCTTTGATCCTATTGACCCTTTTGATCCTTTGCGTTTATTAGAAGAGTCAAGTGGGCCGGAACTATTTTCTGGAGAACTACTTGCTGATGAGGATGAATTATTTGCATTGCGTACTTTTTGATTAGTCTTTTCATGCATCTCTGATTCATATTCTCTGATGTCTTCTATCGTCATACCTGGAACATCAATCAATCAATTAATTATTAACTCATTGCTGGCCAAAGCTATTTTGGAGGTTTTCTGCTGGTGACTGGACATTTTGAAGAAAAATGGAGCAAAATGGCATGTTTTCATATTAGCATGAATTGCTATGGATAAAGTCTTGCGTAAGGATACAAGCGGTTACCATTAGTGATTTGGTTTTCTGTATCAAAAGTCATTTTCTCCTTCCCTACCCCATTGGAGCGCCATCTGGCGATTAAGAAGTGAATCAGGGCTCAATATTTATAAGGTAGGTCCTAATTTATCTGAAAACATATCAAAGTTCAGTGGGAAATCTCATTTTATGCTGGCGGCGGAGTGATTTTGACCTTGGTGATTTTATCAGAATTTCCTGAGAAATCTGACGATAGAGGGGGTTAGTGTCTTCAAATTTATTTATCTCAAAAATTCGGTGGACAACCCATGGTAAGATTGTTATAGCAGGCTAGATGAGTCTCTCCCGAACACTGTGGTATGTTGCACTAGGCTTGGATACTAAGCGTTAATAAGACACAGGGTAAAATGTTATAATGGTCACCTATGGGAAACTCTTCTAAAGTCTCCAACCTATGTTTCATGCCATTATGAAGCAAATGACAATATATTTTAATATTGCACCTAACTGTCTAACCATGTTCCCTTTGGTCCTATGCATTTAGAGGATTGTAATATAGTGGATGGTGTCTGGTCCTATGCATTTAGAGGATTGTAATATAGTGGATGGTGTTTGGTCCTATGCATTTAGAGGATTGTAATTGAGTGGATGGTGTTTGGTCCTATGCATTTAGAGGATTGTAATATAGTGGATGGTGTTTGGTCCTATGCATTTAGAGGATTGTAATATAGTGGATGGTGTTTGGTCATATGCATTTAGAGGATTGTAATATAGTGGATGGTGTTTGGTCCTACACATTTAGAGGATTGTAATAGTGTGGATGGTGTCTGGTCCTATGCATTTAGAGGATTGTAATAGAGTGGATGGTGTCTGGTCCTATGCATTAAGAGGATTGTAATAGAGTGGATGGTGTTTGGTCCTATGAATTTAGAGGATTGTAATAGAGTGGATGGTGTTTGTTCCTACACATTAAGAGGATTGTAATATAGTGGATGGTGTTTGGTCCTATGCATTTAGAGGATTGATATATAGTGGATGGTGTTTGTTCCTATGCATTTAGAGGATTGTAATAGAGTGGATGGTGCTTGGTCCTATGTATTTAGAGGATTGTAATAGAGTGGATGGTGTTAGGTCCTACACATTTAGAGGATTGTAATAGAGTGGATGGTGTTAGGTCCTACACATTTAGAGGATTGTAATATAGTGGATGGTGTTTGGTCCTATGCATTTAGAGGATTGTAATATAGTGGATGGTGTTTGTTCCTATGCATTTAGAGGATTGTAATAGAGTGGATGGTGTTTGGTCCTACACATTTAGAGGATTGTAATAGAGTGGATGGTGTCTGGTCCTATGTATTTAGAGGATTGTAATAGAGCGGATGGTGTCTGGTCCTATGCATTTAGAGGATTGTAATATAGTGGATGGTGTTTGGTCCAACACATTTAGAGGATTGTAATAGAGTGGATGGTGTTTGGTCCAACACATTTAGAGGATTGTAATAGAGTGGATGGTGTTTGTTCCTATGCATTTAGAGGATTGTAATAGATTGTATGGTGTCTGGTCCTACACATTTAGAGGATTGTAATAGAGTGGATGGTATTTGGTCCTATGTATTTAGAGGATTGTAATAGAGCGGATGGTGTTTGGTCCTATACATTTAGAGGATTGTAATATAGTGGATGGTGTTTGGTCCTATGCATTTAGAGGATTGTAATAGAGCGGATGGTGTTTGGTCCTATGCATTTAGAGGATTGTAATAGAGCGGATGGTGTTTGGTCCTATGCATTTAGAGGATTGTAATAGAGTGGATGGTGTTTGGTCCTATGCATTTAGAGGATTGTACTATAGTGAATGGTGTTTGGTCCTATGCATTTAGAGGAGTGTAATAGAGTGGATGGTGTCTGGTCCTATGCATTTAGAGGAGTGTAATAGAACAGATGGTGTTTGGTCCCATACATTTAGAGGATTGTAATAGAGTGGATGGTGTTTGTTCATATGCGTTTAGAGGAGAGTAATAGAGTGGATGGTGTCTGGTCCTATGCATTTAGAGTATTGTAATAGAGCAGATGGTGTTTGGTCCTATACATTTAGAAGATTGTAAAAGAGTGGATGGTGTTTGTTCCTATGCATTTAGAGGATTGTAATAGATTGTATGGTGTTTGGTCCTACACATTTAGAGGATTATAATAGAGTGGATGGTGTTTGGCCCTATGCATTTAGAGGAGTGTAATTTAGTGGATGGTGTCTGGTCCTATGCATTTAGAACATTGTAATAGAGCGCATGGTGTTTGGTCCTACACATTTAGAGGATTGTAATAGAGCAGATGGTGTTTGGTCCTATGCATTTAGAGGATTGTAATATAGTGGATGGTGTTTGGTCCTATGCATTTAGAGGAGTGTAATAGAGTGGATGGTGTTTGGTCCTATGCATTTAGAGGATTGTAATAGAGTGGATGGTGCTTGGTCCTATGTATTTAGAGGATTGTAATAGAGTGGATGGTGTTAGGTCCTACACATTTAGAGGATTGTAATAGAGTGGATGGTGTCTGGTCCTATGCATTTAGAGGAGTGTAATAGAACAGATGGTGTTTGGTCCCATACATTTAGAGGATTGTAATAGAGTGGATGGTGTTTGTTCATATGCGTTTAGAGGAGAGTAATAGAGTGGATGGTGTCTGGTCCTATGCATTTAGAGGATTGTAATAAAGCAGATGGTGTTTGGTCCTATACATTTAGAAGATTGTAAAAGAGTGGATGGTGTTTGTTCCTATGCATTTAGAGGATTGTAATAGATTGTATAGTGTTTGGTCCTACACTTTTAGAGGATTGTAATAGAGTGGATGGTGTTTGGCCCTATGCATTTAGAGGAGTGTAATAGAGCGCATGGTGTTTGGTCCTACACATTTAGATGATTGTAATAGAGCGGATGGTGTTTGGTCCTATGCATTTAGAGGATTGTAATATAGTGGATGGTGTTTGGTCCTATGCATTTAGAGGAGTGTAATAGAGTGGATGGTGTTTGGTCCTATGCATTTAGAGGATTGTAATAGAGCAGATGGTGTTTGGTCCTATACATTTAGAGGATTGTAATATAGTGGATGGTGTTTGTTCCTATGTATTTAGAGGATTGTAATATAGTGGATGGTGTTTGGTCCTATGCATTTAGAGGATTGTAATAGAGTGTATGGTGTCTGGTCCTATGCATTTAGAGGATTGTAATAGAGGGGATGGTGTTTGGTCCTACACATTTAGAGGATTGTAATAGAATGGATGGTGTTTGGTCCTATGCATTTAGAGAATTGTAATAGAGTGTATGGTGTCTGGTCCTATGCATTTAGAGGATTGTAATAGAGCGGATGGTGTTTGGTCCTATGTATTTAGAGGATTGTAATAGAGTGGATGGTATTTGGTCCTATGTATTTAGAGGATTGTAATAGAGCGGATGGTGTTTGGTCCTATGCATTTAGAGGATTGTAATAAAGTGGATGGTGTTTGGTCCTACGCATTTAGAGGATTGTACTAGAGTGGATGGTGTTAGGTCCTACACATTTAGAGGATTGTAATATAGTGGTTGGTGTTTGGTCCTATGCATTTATAGGATTGTAAAAGAGTGGATTGTGTTTGGTCCTATGCATTTAGAGGATTGTAATATAGTGGATGGTGTTTGGTCCTATACATTTAGAGGATTGTAATAGAGTGGATGGTGTCTGGTCCTATGCATTTAGAGGATTTTAATAGAGTGGATAGTGTTTGTTCCTATGCATTTAGAGGATTGTAATAGAGTGGATGGTGTCTGGTCCTATGCATTTAGAGGATTGTAATAGAGCGGATGGTGTTTGGTCATACACGTAATAGAGCGGATGGTGTTTGGTCCTACACATTTAGAGGATTGTAATAGAGCGCATGGTGTTTGGTCCAACACATTTAGAGGATTGTAATAGAGTGGATGGTGTTTGGTCCTACACATTTAGAGGATTGTAATAGAGCGGATGGTGTTTGGTCCCATGCATTTAGAGGATTGTAATAGAGTGGATGGTGTTTGGTCCTACACATTTAGAGGATTGTAAAAGAGCAGATGGTGTTTGGTCCTATGCATTTAGAGGATTGTAATATAGTGAATGGTGTTTGGTCCTATGTATTTAGAGGATTGTAATATAGTGAATGGTGTTTGGTCCTATGCATTTAGAGGATTGTAATAGAGTGAATGGTGTTTGGTCCTATGCATTTAGAGGATTGTAATAGAGTGGATGGTGTTTGGTCCTATACATTTAGAGGATTGTAATAGAGTGGATGGTATTTGGTCCTATGCATTTAGAGGATTGTAATAGAGTGGATGGTGTGTGGTCCTATACATTTAGAGGATTGTAATAGAGTGGATGGTGATGTTCCTATGCATTTAGAGGATTGTAATAGATTGTATGGTGTTTGGTCCTACACATTTAGAGGATTGTAATAGAGCGGATGTTGTTTGGTCCTATGCATTTAGAGGATTGTAATAGATTATATGGTGTTTGGTCCTACACATTTAGAGGATTGTAATAGAGCGGATGGTGTTTGGTCCTATGCATTTAGAGGATTGTAATAGAGCGCATGGTGTATGGTCCTACACATTTAGAGGATTGTAATAGAGTGGATGGTGTTTGGTCCTATGCATTTAGAGGATTGTAATATAGTTTATGGTGTTTGGTCCTATGCATTTAGAGGATTGTAATATAGTGGATGGTGTTTGTTCCTATGCATTTAGAGGATTGTAAAAGATTGTATGGTGTTTGGTCCTACACATTTAGAGGATTGTAATAGAGTGGATGGTATTTGGTCCTATGCATTTAGAGGATTGTAATATAGTGGATGGTGTTTGG